ACGCGGAAATTTTTCAAATCTAAGAAGGCAAATTCAAAATTCAACAGAACAGTCGACTTGCCAGATCAATACAAATGCGTATTTCACTTCTCCTTCTACCATTAACAGTTCCACATAGTGAAGAAATAAACGAACTGGGTCGTTGCAACAAGGAGCATATAAACTTACACAACACAGGAGACTGGCCCAAGACAAGTAAACTCCAGTTCGTTCTAACATTTCGTCGTAATACTGCGGATCAACGTGGAATAAGGTGGCCATTCCAGAAAAAATGAACATGATGGGTGCGTAGAGAACCGTTCCTATCACAAGCCCAGCGCCGACCTTTGAGGGGAAGGAGAACAGGAAGTGAAGAATTAAGCAAAACTTCATGTGCCCATTTTTAGTCTTGAAAGGCGGATGAACATGCTAGAAAAGCATAAATTCACGCGTAAACGCTAGCAAACATCAAAATAATGAAGACCGATGGTGCAAAATTTTCAGCGGCTGATTTCTATCAAGGATATCAGATTTTCAGGCACTCACGGGAGGCATGTAAGGCGCTCAGATGAAACGCTAATACATAGTTTTAAGCACTTAAGAGTGCCATTGTGACGGAAATACCTACAGGAGTAGGCAGTAATAGTGTACTACTACACTAGCAATTGACACGCATGTGACGTGGCGACTAGACCACCTCAATTCTGAACAGGTATCTCTACTCAAAATGGTGAATAACCCTGATAATGTACGAAGACATGCAAAGTATTCAACCAGCGAGCATGTACAACCCAATTCCCCAATTTTCTACTCATGCGAAAGGTTAAAAGCACTTCACAATGCAATGACAGTACGGCTAAGCCAAGTAGCAATGGGATTGCCGACAGACGGTCGTAAGTCTGTGATGATTTCAGCCGCAATGGTCTCGTCGCCAAACAAGAGTAGTCAGCATGTGGTGAGTCTAAAGGAGTCAGTTTTGTCATCGCAATTGCACAAGAGGATCAACCCGTCTTTGAGAATAAAGAATGCTAACGCTTAGGGGGATTTGGAATTTTGGGAGGTCGAGACGACTATCATCAAGACCTGTAAGTCTATTAACAAAATCTTCAATTTTAAAGCTTTTCTAGCGTTATCTGAATACCAATGTCTATATGCGGAGTGTCTATATGCGGAGAAAGTAGGTATCAAGACAATAATTTTAAGAGGAATATCAAGTAAAATAAATAATTTTACGAATAATTAATGGCGATGGAAACTTCCAACACATCTTTGAGAAATACACCTCAATGTCACAAATTTAAATGCAAATCACGTATTTAAATGCTATGCAACAAATTCGATGATAACTTGAAGATTTGAGACAAGGTTGACAGACTTTAATGATATTAATTTAGTTCAGAAAAGCATTAGAAAGTAAGGCAAGGAAGACCGCAATTATGCTGACTTGACGCACATCTGGGGTTATATGCAGGATTTTAAATAGCCACTCCGATCACAGAAGTCCTGAGAAGCTAAAATTGACCATCGCATCATCTAATAGGAAGCAAACTTCTCCCATCTGAAAAGTGCCTTTGAATCACACCAGCTTGATTATCCAACTCAGTCTTGGAGGTTAGGCAAAGTAAAGCTCAAAAAGCAGCACAAAAGTTAAGCCTAAAGAAGACATTTTCTAATGAATCATCTAAGATGATGTGAGGAGATGGTCAGTGACGTCTCCTCAACCGAAAGAGAAATGAATGTGGTCACTCTCGCGTCACCATCAGCCTCAAACGAGGTGATTCAAATTTACGACCATTGGATAAGAAGTACAGAAAGGGGTTTTGGTTTTCAATGAATTTTATAAATGTTCAATGAGTTGTACCTCAAAAAGGGCTTGTGTATGAGAATGTCATAAACGCCTTCCTTCCTACATGTTGAAAAAATCCAAACCCAAAAAGTTCTCACATTGTTGAGACGAATCAGGAAATGCTACAAAGATCGAATTAGCAATACGTAACGAAAGACAAGTTGTCAAAAAACCTATCAAGCATTCCATAAACTGCCACGATTCCTTATAGTCTTAAATTTCAATTATTTTTAAATGGCCTGGATGCACTCAAAGCCATTGCTAACTAGGCAGCCAACAGATAAAGCCCTTGTAGAGTAAATTAATATGAGTATTATGACGTGGGAATACATGCCTGGTAGCTAGGTGGTGGAGAGTACCAAACACTATTCGATTTAATTGAGCAAGCACGGTTATGGTTATGGACTGATCCTAATCTCAAACAGAATGTCAACGAATTTAGAGCGTGTCCAAGCCTAATATCCAGCAGACATGAAAGGGACAGTTTCTACGTTGTTTGTAGGCAAGCAACATAAAAGACGTCTCAGAAATATGCAAAGAAGTGTGAATTCCTAGAATCGCAAGAGTCAACAGCGAACTCTAGCGTACAGCTAGTGCATAAATATCATTTTGTTTTTTTTTTTGTAAATAAGTGGGGTCTATTAGCCTATGGTAAGCGTATCCAAAACATCAAAACAGTTTCTTTAACGTTATTGCTATAAATATGCGAATTTCCGGGACCTTCATGAAAACAGATGATAGAAATTGTGACCAACCAAACCTTGATCAGCATCTAGTTTAAGGTGTCGATTTTGCAATCAAACAATGTAAATTAGAAATGTTTAAAGCGAAGTCTTTTTACAATCTCCCCATACCCCACAGGGAATCGCATCGACTCACAGAAGATCAATTCCAAATCAACAGAATCTACAAATAAGCTGCTCCAGAGGTTAAAAGAATTTGCGAACCAAAGCTCTTCCCTCGGTAAAAATTTGTTCGCCAATTTCTTTACCAGTATCAACTACAGGAATCATCAGCAGCAGCAGCTGCAGCAGCCGTTCATGAAAAAGATTACCGTACTACTTTGATGGTTGAGCTTTCGTTTCGCGTTCCGGAGACTTTTGTCTCCGTGGAAGTCTCAGCGCTCCTTAGCGGCGACAACAAAACGCAAACTCAATTTTGAAGGATAGCCACCGGATTCCTGTTATTGAAGGGCGTACATGTTGTGAATAAGAGAATAAGAAAGGCTGAACGTGAGGTCTGCCGTAGATGAGCTCCCTAGCCTCATGTTTTTCGGGAAAGATATTAACTGAAGCGACACTGGGGAAGGCAGCTAACCGCTTAAAAAAGGTGGCCACAAAAAATAGGTAATTCCTTTGAGGATGTCAAATAAGTGAACTGCCAACACCTCTATCTGTTTACTAGATTGGTGGAAACCAAGTACATACAAATATAGAGACTCAAGAACGAAGTGGCATGAATACGCGAACCCAAAGCTCAATTCCCACGGAACGATATCAAACCCTCTCCTTTACTGCAGGATCCTGCTTTCGGATCGGTGTTTTCACCACTACCCAATACACTTCCCAACGAGGTGGTTAGGACTTGGTTGAATTGTCAAGAGAATGATGAAGCTGCGACCAGCAATCTTACCAGTTGCACAAAAACTAGATGACTGATGTGGCTGGTTGCCAAATACTCGTTTCACACCATCGATCGCATAGGGATGGCCTATGTGAGAAGTTAAATTTTCAGAGACGATTAAAAGGAGAGGAGGGATATTGAGAAATTTACCTACATTCCAGGTACGTAGGTACATAAAACTCGCCTCTTTCCTATCTTCTGGACAAAACGACCGTCAAACCACGTTGGTGACTCCTTAGCCCAACCGTTCATGTACAATCAAAATTCTCCTCAAGTATCATATCTTCTTGAGTTTTCCAGAATCTTGAGGCACTGCATCATTGTGTAAGTACTTGACCTTCCTATACCGGTCAAAAGTTAGGATTAAATATAATAAAGCACTCAAATGATCTTATTACATAAAACATCGGAGCGGTTAATCGTTTGAAAGTTAAAAGCATCTTTTACGGGTTTCAGCTGTATTTCTTATTGCGCTGTTTCTGCTCCATGAATGCGCCAGCTCAGGCTACCAGCCCTGTCAACCCTTATTTTCATGCTGTCTTAGATGCGAACACATCAGGGCTTCAAACGAAGGATTCGGGAATCAAAGAACTTGATTTTGTGAACGAGGAGTAAGAGCTCAAGAATTGGAGGTATAACGATGTAAAAAGATTCAATTAAAATCACCATGAAATCCTATTTAAACAGTCTTATTAAAATGAGTGCCATAGCTTTGAGCCCACTAGCTTTATGGAAAAGCTAGGTGTGAATTGAATGCGGAGCAATCAAATGGAGCAAGATAACCATGTTGCCACTGGAATCCCCGATTTGAGTACCGCACACGCCGAGCACCAAACGTGATGGGCTGAAGTAAACGTTATCAAATGTCTTTTCACACCATGAAGCTTGCGATGCTCAGAAAAAGGGACAAATACTTCAGTGTTCAAAAGAACCAACGTTTGTTGGGTTCCACTAAAACTATTCCGCACAACAGCCTTAACGAAAGAAGTTCATGCTAGGTTACGTTGTTTAGTAAGGCGAGGTCAAGTAGATTGCAAAGGCCCCAAAATGGAATGCCAAAAAAAATCATAGAATAAAAAGCGAAAGTATGTGCATTAAACGGAAGGGTAATTCCGATACACAAATTATTAATGCCACTTCTACAGAAAATGTGAAATTCTTTCCCAAAATCCCCTGAAAGATTAAATACAAGATTCAGGAAAAGCATTTAAAGTTGCTGTGGTTGGGAAATCAGCGATCGATCCAAAAGGAAACTTACTAAATACGGTTTATAAATAGTAGGATTGACTAAATTTCAAATAGTCCCCAGCATTTGGACTGGGTTTCCTGACCATTGGAGCTTCCATTTTGAAAATTACGCAGTTAAAATACGCAGTAGTCAGACAGATTCGGTCTGCGGGTTATTAGACTAAATGTTCGTCGACTATCCGTCAAACAACAGTCTTTATCCATTGAATTGTAGTAATGATTGGAAAAAGACTATTGAACAACAAGACACGAGAATACACAAAACCTGATTGCCAAATTAAAAAGATTAATAAGCTGTCGACATTTATTCGAAAGTGGTATGCTGCCCATCAGAATCCAGACCGACACCAATAATCGTCCCATCTCTCAATTCAAAATTACTGCGGATATTCTAAGAAAAGATCAAGTAGCAACCTGACACAACCATTTGTCTCAAACATATGGAGGACATCATAAAATTATGAAACCAGGAATGCATAATCAAATCCAGTTGAATGTTCGCCTAATCAAAAAGGTCCCACAAGGGTTAGCATGATGAGAGATCTTGAAAACATAGAGTGCCACTCACCACTTCAGGCAGAATGCCGGAGTTCGATGCAAAGAGAAAGACAGGAGGCGCAGTAGGGGCAGCAGCATAAAGAAAGGCGAAGCTAGACTTAGCCACCGATATTTCATTTGGCTGGTGGGACAGCAGCAGCACCGTTATCTCACGAGTTATGAAGGGCGAAATAATACTAGACACAAGATCATCAATAAAGATGGGTAAGAAAATTAAAAATATATACTTAGGATAGCAATCGTAGTGTGTGCAATTTGAAGTGAATCATGAGGCAACGTGAGACAGCTGGAAACACTGAGCAGATCGAGGGGGGGGAGAAGACGGCGATTTAAACACCCTCATTTTTACGGAATGGGATAGAAGATAGATAGCAAGGTGGATTACGAAGGCGTATTTTTTGTATTTTTGCTTCGATGAAACCTACCCTTGCAAGCACGAGCTCCCAACACAGGTAAAACGTTAATTTATTAGAACCCTATCGACAAGTTGGTGGTAAAATAAAGTATGCCACAACTAGCGAAATTCAGATTGGCAATACCAATACAATATATTTTAAAACAAAACGGACCCTCCTTTAATAAATTCAGTTCCTTCTAGTTTCTGCCAATTTCTTCATCGACAACATGACTCAAAAGTCTACCATGAATGCCCGAAATACCGAAGGGCGTTATATTAGGGGTCCGGTTTTTTCTCATTCCGCATATCCTCTTTACACAGACTGCATCCTGAATGGAACCTCCCGGGTACCCAGGCAAAACCCTCTAACCTAAAGTCGCTAAGATGATGGGACTTCTAATTAGAATTCCGATCAGTTGGTAGGATAAATAAACCTACATTTGCACTCCAACATGAGTTGTTCATAGTGGTAAATTTACCAAACGTTGTACGGTTTCCCTTGAGGTGCATATTTTTTGTTGCAAGCATTCACCACCGTCCTAAATAAACTTATTCTAGCTTTTATTTAAAGTGAGTCATCATCTAAGTGTGGGAATTATTAGAATTGGAAAGTTGCGAGAGAAGCTATTTTAACTAAATAAAAATTACAAAAAATGCCCGTTAAGCTGAGACCTCCTCAATAACCATTCACAAACACTAGTGGATTTGAGCCAACCTACATATGAGAGCGTTCTTTTACGCAGCAGACCATTTTATTAAAAAATTCGGTAAACGGCATAGGTCAAATAAAAACGCATTGCTACTTGGTGAGACGGAAAGTGCACCTTAATATGCATGGGACGCAAAAGAATTTGATAAGATGAGACAATGAACTTTATCCATGCTTAGCGGAGTTGTTAAAAGATAAAAGAATGAGTGGATACAATCAGGGACTTACTAAATAACTCCGAAACAGTTCAAACACGCATAAAACATTTGCTAAAAGACATGACATTTTATAAGACATGAAAATGCTTTCTTTGAGAAAAGTTCAAATTCTTAAATAAACCTACACTTTTGCAATGAGAATAGAAATAAGAATGTAAAGTCCACGCCGATCAATGCGCTTAATTCTTCCAACCATACTGAAACCGAGGTAGAAAAGAGCAGTCGCACTAAAGGATGACCCTAAAATTACCATCGGAAAAGATTGAAAATAAAGCAAACTACAAACACAAACTCAAAGGTACTTACCCAGATCGTTGAAAAAACCCTTCATTATGTCAGGTAATTTTTGCTTGAAGATAAAGTTAAAAACCACGCCGATCACAGTCATGAAAAAGAGAGGGTTCAGTATCACTTGTCGCATCACCTGAAGGTTAAGTGAAAACCCAATCGGTACTAGCAGCATATCAGTAGAGGTAGGTTGGTTCTACTATGGTTAGTCCCGCCCGAGTACCACAATTACACTTTTCGCCATCTATCACTTAATAACGGTTACTACTAATACTCAATGTTTGACATTCCATGTTCTGCAGATCAAGCAGTTCTTGCTTCGAGTCCTCTGTGAAATTGACATGAATAATGTTATGCACCGACAATGCTAGTAAAAGTCTCAAAAAAACATTGTCAAAAATGGAGTCAAGACCTCTCATCACCAGACTGTGAGACCGTAAGCTTCTCATGCATGAAAGACCAGGCGAATGGATCGACAATACCACCCACATAAGACAATGAGTATTGGCGTAGCAAAATAATTCTTATTAAAGCGATCTACATAACAACGCAACCTTTTCAACTCTTCGGGATCTCAATGCTACAAATATCCCGTTTCAACCCAACAAAAGTCACCATTACCCAGTTATGTTTCCGCCAAGATTCCATCATTAGACAATATCATGGATACACAGACTTCAAACGTACAACAAATCACCACAAATCCAAGGGCAATCGAAAAGCTATTTTGGCAGTTATATAGACACAGCGCCATCAGCGTAATCACATTAGTCGGCAGCTTGCATTGCTTCAAAGCAAACTAAAACAATATTGACGGTAGGAACTCCCTTACAAAAACATTGCTTAGTAAAAACAAAATGAGAAGGAGCCAATGTTGAAATCTTTGGCCCTGCACAAGGATCGGTAAGAGACCACTTGAACAAACCAAAACCTCGAAAAAATCCGCTTACAGTTTTTAAAACAGGTTTTGATTTTGCAAGAAATAGGAGCGACAAAGGAATATCACTTGAAGGTGCTTTATGCAGCACAATTCACCAAACAATTTTGTGTTTGGACCTATACTTCTATGACAAGGCATCGCCACATAGAGTAGCCTCCCGTGCTTGCGAGCATAACTACATCTAGGACCGGGGACATTCCTAGAATGACTAAAGCAGTGGCACCCTAGCTGTCTCATAGGTTGGTTAAAATGCATCTACTTACGATGATGGTTAATGCACGAAGAAATTGCTTCAAAAGTTATAGGTAAAGTTCCGAGGGTAACTTGAGTAGTGTTTGGAACTTACACTTAGTATTCTCTTGCAAGTCAGTGTTAAAGTCATCTGAGACGAAGTTGGGGAATGCGAAGCTATTATGGAATCGACAAGAGCCCCTTCTTTGGCCTTGTGCCACTCTAGAGCAAAGTAGCCCAATGGATTCAGAACGACTAGCTGAGCCGGGGCAAAGAGGTAGATATATGCAGCCAGGTCGGGGTAGAGGAGACGAACTGCACGAAATTAACTTGTATTACTTGCTGAAAAATAATGTTAGACTTACGCACTGGGTAGGCAAGGGCAACATCATTGGTTTGGGAGGTGAAAATTGCCAGCAAGCCAGCCAAACCGATGGAATTACCACGTGAAACAACAAGCACAATAACTATCGTTAGAAAGAAGATGATTGCTTTGCCTAAAGACACGGCCAGGACGACGTACCAATCGACATCAGAGAAGTTCATTGACACCATGACCTAGAAACAAAGACGATATGTAGTGTCAAAACAAAGCAACATGAATCGCGTCAGCCCAATCCATTCTCCCCATGTGTCGTGATAATAAAACACTGTAGCACGGTAAAATACATAAGAAGTCAAAAGACCAAGCAAGCTCTTTCTGGAACAAACAACGGCTGGAAACAAATAATTTTCTTGTTTTAAAGTAAAGAACCTGGCTAAACAAGTTTGCGAACAGGCTTTGATAAACCGTCCTCTGCGTTCATTTAGCCACTTTGTTGACTGCCTAATCCGCAAGAGAAAAGATAACCGTGTAGTACCATGGAACCACTTACACAAAACTGAGTAACTTGAGCCAAAAGATGGGGTGTTCGCACTGCCCGAAGCATACTCAAATGTGGTGAAGAAATGTATTTATGAAGGAGTGGTTAAAGTCAATCTGAGACAAGTATTGTATTCAAGGGCTGAAATGTGCAATTTTTGTCGTAAATAAGGATGGACACTTGACACAGATCCCCCGTAGAATGTTATTCAACCCTAAGTAATGGTGGGCCAGTAAATCCCTTACTCCAGTGAAGTGCACGAGGGAGAGTAGGTATCGGATGCAGTAGGCATGGTAGGATAAAATGGCTTGACCAGACCATCACAAGATTAATAATAGGTGATAAGTAATTCAGGTTGTAGCCAAACTGACGTGTTCATCAAAAGACCTGGCAAACTGACGTACAGTTCTCCTTCTCTCTAGCCAACCGTGGACCACTAACAAGTCTCCCCACTTACAAGGATTTCAAATTGCTTGGTGACATATGAGGGTAGATTTGCCTCAAAAAATTAAACCTAAACTAAATGACCTAAAATGCAAATTCACATAAAACACGATATTTAGAAGCGACGAGGGCAGGGAACCGAGGTTTCTGACATGGAAAACAAGCAAAGACTGCTGTTATGAAAAATACATGACGTACAGAGAAGAAGATCGCCGGCAGGGCAAAGGAAGTAACGTAAATACCGAGACCTTTTGCTTGTGCGTTCGTGAGCAGCTTAAGCTGGCCTGCCAGGAAGCCGAGGAGGATTAAACCAAAACATTGTATCAGAATAGGAAACAGCGCCCTGAAAATACCGTTATCAAACTTCTTATCCAGAAATAACGATTCCATAAACGGTGCGAAATTCACAGAGACTCAAAAAATAGCATGCACACTAAAACGAGAAGGCAGACCTGAGTCAATGATCAAACTTAAAGGTATCCATATAAAAAATACCGTGTTATTTAATGCTAACACAGTTCTGGCCTTACAATAAAATGGACTAATTAGCACAAACTATCCGCATTATTAAATACTTCTTTAGGGAATGAAGAAAGGCATTACTGAATCATGGGTAAAGTAATAGCCGCCGAGTATTTAAGTGGGATTACTGGTACGATTTATCGAAATATGCCTACCTTTTCATCAAAAATTTAGAAGACGGCAAAAGACGATTCGATTTATGAGGAAATGTGCCTGATTACAAAATCTCTTTCATTTTATGCATGGCTATAATTCGCATTACATAAAGGGTTGAGCATTTAGAAAGTGGTTTGAGTTTGCAGCAATCGAAAGTTTAGGTGTAATTAACTCGATTTGTTTGAATGGTTATCGCTTCTGCCGGGTAACTGGAGAGTTCGATTCAGAAATTGTCTACGGGGATGTCCGACCTAAAAACGGATGCTCTGGAGGACTACAATCCTTTTGGGGACCCTTTATCGTCGAGTTAGTAAGATTTTGTAGCGGCTGAGACTTACATCGGATAGTTTCTTCATGCTTCGCTAGTTCCTTACTATCATACCCTTTCAGCACCTTTATATTTGTCATCACATTTGTTGTTACTGTTCACATGTTTCTTCTTTACTTTTTTTGCGATAATAGCGTTTTGCTGGATAATTCTGTGAAAGTTTACTGTTTCATTGTCGTCAGTATGTTGATAAAGCAGTCAGGTCATATTACAATTTTGAAATTCTTTTGAACATAATTTGCACAGCATTTTCGCTAGCAAATATCTCTTCAGCTCGTCAACCTGCAGTGCTGCCGCCTTCTGACAGTAGCTTGCCTCCTCCCTACTCCAATGATGTTGGCCTTAAGGATGGGACATTGCAAGACTCAGGTAGCACTCTTCTGCCTTCCACACAGCCACCATTGACGGTTGCAGACCTACAGCGCAGACAGGCCGAACTGGATCAGCGCGCTGCTCAATTGGATCTTCGAGAGAAGCAGGCTCAGCAACAGGAGGCGTGGCGCATGGAACATGGATATGGAACCGCTGATAGTGAATCCTATTGCCGTTTCTAGAGTGTAATTAAGCAATATTTGATCATAATTGGCTTTTTTACCCGTTCTAGTTCCTAACTGGCCCCCGTTGCCAAGGTGGTGCTGCTTCAAGCCGTGCCTTCGAGTTGACTTCAATTCGGATATTCCTTCTCACTGTCGTTGGTTGGCCATGTACGGGCACTACTTCTGGCTGGCATACTCCTGCCTTCTTTTGCTTAATGTCTTCGGCACCCTAGGCTATCTCATTGTCTCTAAAACACTGGAGGAATCAGGTGCTCTCTTTGGTGTATCCATTGTAGTCTTCCTGATTCTTACTCCCGCTGGCTGCTTCTGCTGGAATCGACCGCTCTATAAGGCTCTCAGGTGCATCTGTTTGGGCGTTATACTTGTTTCATCCGCAGTATTGCTAATGATGGTAGACGTAACCGTCTTTCTTTGTCTATAGAAAAAATAGTTCAATGCAATTCTGCCTCTTTTTTCCCTTCTTCGGGGCGCAGATTTTGATAATTTTCATTCAAATGCTGGGAATTGACTATCTAGGTGCTTGGTAAGTATATTCTTGAACTTTTATGGTTGCCACCTATCGGGCGCATTGAAATCAATTAATTGTATGATAGTCGTTGGCGCAGACGGTACATTTCGACCAATTTGATTTTACATCTTTATAACTTACAGGTTCTCGAAGTTATCAGTAAATATTCCTCAAACTATTTTTTGATAATTCGCAGTTCAAGACTGATGCTTATTCCCACCCACTTCTTAATTAGCATCCTATCTTGCCGACCGCTTATTTATTAGTCTTTATGACACATTCTGTACATTTGTACCTCAATTTTACCATACAGTTTACCTTTTTCACCAAAGTTTCATTAACAGACTAATGACAACACCTAAAATTTTTTTATTCTATCCGTGATTATGCTACTCAAAAAAATAGGAGAATGTTCCTTCATCCAAGATCATCATGCACCCACAGTTTTTTTTAAAGATAGAGACCGACCTGGTTGGTTTAGGCATCATTTAACTGTTGAAGAGTAGGTTTTACGCTGATGACGTTGTTTTCCTTATTGACTGCTTTTGAAAAGCATGGTTTTCAAGCATCTTTTAGCAAGGCTAGGTGCAGTTGACGATGATATTAGAGACCAGCATTGTTAAAACATGGTTCAATATACATTTCCATTTTTACAGCGGTTGGATAAACTCTTTGAAGGTCTTCGCATCGACACCTAGTGTGGGAACCTTTATGCTCATTTTGGCAGCTCTCTTCAGCCTCGCTGGCGTGGCTGCCGTCTACCTTATCTTTCGGGTGAGTTTTCTCGTCAGAAAACCCTTCTTGAAGATTTTGCATATCCGAGTCTTCCCCTAATTCTTTTTGAGTGTTTTAATGAAGGGAACTGTCGTCTCGTTCACATAGTACCCACTGGTTTGAGGCTTTTATAGGGTTAAACTGTTCATTGAACTTGCAACGAAAGTCATTTGAAGCGTACAGCTTTTCGATGTTCCTAAGAGCAAGCATTCCATGCATACATTCTCTGGTTTACAGGGGGGTCATTAACGTAACAAGTTTGCGAAAACAACGTGCTCTTACGTTCGTGTGAATTGGGGTTCACGATCGAAATGAGTTAACACTTATTTTTGACTCACGTTGAAAGTGGTGAATTGTGATGTGAATACCTCTTCATCCAGACTGCGAATTCGAGTGCAGTGCGCAATGCACTCCAAATTCAAATTTCACTTCAGCTGGGTGTTTCAGTGTTGATTACGAGGTGGGTGAATTGTTTTTTAAATGTGCTTTTGAAGGCGGGTCGATAAGGTATCTCCGTTGGGATATCCTTAGCTTAAGCCATATAACTATCAGATGTGAAACCAATTCTGTTTCGCGCTAATCCTTTTTTTTACACCAGAGGTCCTGTGAATTTTGAAGGGATAATAGTTGCATTATCTTCATCGTTGAATTTTCGATAATTTCTGACTAGTACAGAGGAGTTGGGGCACAAGACTCAACGATCTGATAAGGTTTGTTCTCATGCCACTGTTGTCTATATTCTAACATCGGTAGGTGTCATGACATTTGGCTAAGGATAGAAACACTTGGTGGAACGTCTGTTTGAGGTAATGACTAGTCTAGGCGGTTTCCCTTACTTCATTCCAACGAATCCCGGTGGTGTGAGGTTTTCTCATCTCTTAATACTTGATCATACTCTTATCCTTCTCTAATACTATTCCTTACTTACCAATTTATTAATTCGTTGGATGCTTTTGTAACCGCCTTTCTAGAATTGCTGTTATTTACTAGATCTTGTTTAAATTCACAATTTCAAATAATCCTATCGCTACTTGCCTAATTCGTTATTTCGAATTGATCTCAATGGCTTCTAATCCTGGTGGGAAATCTCTGTTAGTCGTTTGTAGTTCGCAACTTATCAGCAGCGACTGTTTCTTAATAGACTTCTTGGGCCACTGGTACTCTCAGTGTCAGATCTTCTGAAGACTAATAATTACATTAAACTTGGAAACTGGGATTTTGAGGTCTTTTTAGGGGTTGTTTTCTTGATCGTTACGATGGAAGTCTAAATCAAACCTAGTATTTAAATGCGTTTGGATCATGTATATATCTTTACCTCACGTGGCCTCAGCAGCGCGAAATAGCTTGTCCACGGTCTAAGATGGGCCCTTGGGAAACTTTGTTGTTAGTATGAGTAATTGGGTATGGAACGGGGAGGTGGGGGGATAGCATTTTCCTCACTAAACTATGGGCCATTTTCACATCATACTGTTCTCTGGTTAACAGCATTTTAACTCCCTTTATAGCTGACAAAGTTCCTGATGATACTCATCCGTTTCTCTCTGGACTTCTTTGAAGTCGTTTACATAGTAGCTTACGCACTTCGTCCTTTTCACAAAACTCGCAATATACCTTGCTTACATCGGCAATCAAAATGTGACCCGTTTATTTTAAAATCATGGAGACCGATTCCATATCGTTGATTTCAGATTGTTTTGGTCTCTCTTGTCGAGTAAAGAACGGAGATCGGGGCATGTTGTCTAAACACCATGAAACTACTACCATTGCCAAATGTAGCCCTTCTCAAACGTTCTCACCAATGGTATCGAACTGTTTTCTCAAGCTTTTGAGGTCTGAGGCTGTACTTGGCCGCGTGGCTGATCTTGTCAAAGCCTTATATTTTTTATAAATCTGTAGGTGCATGCATTCTACCGCGGATCCGGAGCTAGCATGCAGCATGCCAAACAGGAGTTGGTACAGGACATGTCCACTAGTGGTTTTGCCGCCATCTCATAGGCCGGAGTCAGCAGCGGTAGCGAAGTCGACCCAATTGGCATTCCTCCTCTCTCCTCGTTGGCTGTGCTTCTCTTAATCCCATTCTCGCTGGTTATATCTCCCATCATCGGCCCTTTTTTCCTCGAACAGTGCACTTCTGTGCCCCCCCCCCATTTTGTGCTCGTGATAACTCATGCTACATATCATTTCTCCCTCTTTCTACTTTTCTGCACCTTTTACTTTAAGTACGGTTTTCTTATTTTGCTTTATTGGTCATGCATGCCTTCTTTTTGAATGTAACTAACCTGACTTTTAATTATTGTAGTGATAATAACCAGCTCGCTCAAGTTTTCCTCATGCGTTAAGTTTCTTGGGAAGAATTTCAGTTTTTGCAGACATCAAAGGTTGTGCCTGATTTGTTCTCATTACCTCAAATCGAGATTAATTACATTCTGGACATCATGTTTGCCTTTCATCTAAGCTTCGTACATTGAAAGGCCACCATGTAAAGATGTGAGAGCGTTCTCTTTCGTAAGCCTACAACTCACATTTGGAATTGGTCTATTTAGGAGATAGGGTGGTTTATTTTCCCAAAGTTAAATTGATGCTAGTGGTTTAACACTATCAATTTCAACTCCTCCAAGTTGATTGTCCCTCCTCCATAAAAGCATATCGTCGGATCAACATTTCATGCTGTTTCCTTTGCGCTTTTCTGGCTCTCGAGCGGCAACTGTCCTCTACTTTTGAGGTTGTGGGCGTCTGCTCCCCATTTGGGTAGGATGGAAAGGAAACAGCGAAAATCCAAACTGAGTCTTTTCACCCCTGGATTGTTTTGCTACGGAAGGGGAAGTGTCGAGAATGGGCGTCCACGACTTACACTACAGGAATTTCATTCTCTACCTTAGGCCTTGATGAAATGCACCGATGCGCTGCAGATGTGGAAGAAGTGGAAGGATTTCCGGTGCTGTTGCGCTATTGTTTGATCGCCTTCATTAATGGACACGTCCTAATGGAAGTCGAAGCGCTTAAGCTTAAATGCAGCGAGGTGAACTGGCCTTGTCAGACTGGACATGACCCGTTTTTGTTAGCAGTCTCCGGTGCTGTGAGATGCTGAATGCTAAGACAGTAAAACGAATACGTTAAGCTCCTGTTATTGCATGTGAGTTGAAGGTATGATTGCTATATATGATTTAGATAAAAAGTGTCAAGCGTCGAAGTTCTTCGTTTTTTTGCAATTATGCTTTGACGGATCTGATCTACACTCAATCCCAACTAATTCATCGTAGCAATTTTGGGACGAAAATAGTCAATGGCAATGCCGATTCCCACATGTACATTGAATACTCAATGTGATTCGATTCAACAATCAGTTCCTAAAATACGGTCCTTCTCTGTTCATCGCATTCCTTCCGTGACTGTAGTGTACAAATAGTGCATCAGTACACTCGAATTGGACTATGATTTGGGAAATTCCTCCTGAGATAGCGGCTGATTCCCCCAAGTCTTGTTTATAACTCAAATATTTTTCTCTTACATCTACTTGGAACATATCAATTCACTTTGAATGTCAGGTAGTCATTTTTTTCTGGACTTTCATGACTACCAAAAGTTTTGCTAAGGCTATCCGATTTTATCATCCCAGATAGCTACTGTGCTAGACTTTTCACCGCCCTTCTTTTTTATCTTTCCGGACCAACCAGACCTCCATCTTAGCTTCTCAAAAATTACTTGTTTTGTGTCAAAAATCTTAGCAATTTTATGCCAAACACAACGAATGCATGAAAATCTAAGAAGTAGGGGAAGAACAATCACTACAGAGCCACAGTAACAAGGAATTGTGAGAGGCGCTCCAAATCCGGAGGTATCTGAAAGTCAGTTAGTGAATTTGGCAAAGGTGCGTATGAAAGGACCTCATTAAAAGTACCCCAATAATAAGAATCCAGTAGAAGCGTCGTCTGAGAAACCTCCAAACCACAACAGATAGTTTTATAAGTCTCTTGAGGCCGTTGTTCACGCAATCGTCTCCGCATGGCTGCCAGAAATTCGGGTTGGACTACTTCCTCTAGGCCGTTCACCAGAGTGCATCTGGACAGCAGACGTAAAATCTAGGGCCAAAAACGACGGGAACAGTTATTCCTATGAGGTCAAGTTGCCACTATCTGATAGCAATGCCGGTAACTTGGAGCATAATTGATGATACTTATGCTTTAGTTCTCTTCACGAAGATGCCAATGCTACAAACAGACCGGTGGACGCTGTCACTTCCACCTTAGTTACTGGCACAAAAAGCGCACTATTTTAACCTCTACCTTTTTTTGAGATTTCAGCTAAACATAGACGATGGATAAGCAATGACGTGGAATTTAAAATGCCGCAACCAACTTAGCCGCGAGCTAATGATTGAAAACGTCGACGCATGATGTTCGCTACCGAATGGGTGTGATTTAGCGCAGGAGGCAAAGCCTTCATAATGGATGTCGTACTGCCGACGAGAGGGAATGCGGGCCGAACATCAATTGCACAAAGCAACCCTTGCTCCTAGATAAATGTTCCTATAAGACTTGAAAGGTGTACGAAGAACAATGAAATGTCAAGAGGTATGACAATGCGTCAGCATCCTTAAAGAGCATTTTTCAAGGCAGACATGAGTTAAGGTTTTGAGTATCGACTGTACCCACCGAGAGTCTGTACAAAAATCTAATAGGCGCCATTGTTCAACCACTCCCTCGTTCCACTGCATTTTCCACTTAATTGTAATTTTCAAGACCTAACTGCCGATATGATCTACCGCCTCCTGAAAAAGTGATTCGGAAATTCACCTTGAAAGCAGTGCTCCGGTGATATTGAATAGGCGGAATTGCTTGAAATACCTACTGAAGCACAAAAAGCCATCGCCAGTCGATGCAAATTAACCCTCCGTTACTGCATTAACCGCTAAGGTAAAGTATTACTCCTATTTTTGTGCTTATGCCAACTTGCTACGCGATTGGTGGTGTTCTTAACTTTTTACTATTATCTTACTGGGGCACAGCCTCCATGTTTACACGTTAAATAGCAAAGTGTATGTATTGGATCTGCAACCCATGGAGAATTGCATTTCTAAGCGTTCAGATAGTGTACAATTGGTTTTATTCTTAGGAGTCCGGTTCCTTTTTATCGAGCTCCTGTGCGATTAACCGCATTACAACCCTTCTTGACACAATTTTCTCGTACGGGTCTGAATTGCGAAATGATTGTGGGACGAACATTATTAATGCTTGAAGTACCATCCCAACAAACGTACAGTATTATATGCATCATGAAAAAAAAACGGGTAAATTGGATGAATATGTGCGAGAACCTAACATTGCGAAGGAAATCGGAACTAACCTGGGTGGTAGTGAGATTGGGGCAGAGTTGACAGAGGGATGAGACTTTGACTTTGTCCGATCCTCCCTTCTTGGACTGCAGGATATGGCAGACTTGAATAAGTGGTAACAACAGATCCTGCAAATGTCGACCCTGTCGATACACATCTGACTGGCTCGCCTCCGGTACCAAATCCCGATCGGAGAGCCAAGTCTCCAAGGTTGCTAAATTGTGCCTGTGGTGGCAACAAAAATTCGGACGGCCTTCAGGTGCACGCTCGTTGAAATGGAAGTGGGTTGAACTACTCGCCCTCAACAGAAACCAAGTTTGAAAGACACGAACAGTGGGCGGGTGTGTACTTCTATTCGAGTGAGATCGGTGCAATGCTTCGCTTTTTTCAACCACATGCATGAGTGACTGCCATCTTGGTATCCATCTTGCTCCGGATTGCGTGGGCTGGTCTCCGAGCCAAGCTAAAGCCCAATCCCTTCTGCCTCTCTTGGTAAATGTATTCAAGTCTCCCCAATGCTTTGTTTCACTTAATGGGAAGTCTCGGTACGCCACAACTGGCGTGAAAAACAACGGCTCCACTTAAGAGACTTAGCTCATTTTGATAACACCCAGCTGACCATTGAGAGCAAGGCCGAGTAGGATTTCAATTTTAAATGCACTTTATTCTTTACTGAGATCGGGCGGCCAGTGATGAACGATAATCATCCCTTCCAAAGTAGATTTGGAAGTTCCACCTTTTTGGAATTATTGAAAGAAGCATAGTAAAAGATGACTTTGTGGTAATTCTTTTACAATGGATTAAAGTAGGGTGGCCTGCCCTAGACCAGCACGTGTAATCAGTTTTAGTGTCCCCTTCAAGTAAGTTCACACTTTAATTTCATAAGAATAGATTTGCAACATAAAGAATAGAAATGAAGCGAAGCTGAAGAGGTTAAAATGCATGCCCGTCACCCTGTGTTTTAGATGAATAGAGAACCCCATTTGGACACATGGTTTTCAAATAGAGCGGTTAAGATGCCCTCCATGGTTGTTTGATGCCAGTAACAATGTCACATTTGATCGTTTTAGTTAACCAAAAAAAAGATGAAGAGTATCATTCCTATGTGCATTGTTCTGTCGAAGTTGCATTTAAAGGAAGGTTTTGTGGCTGACCTTATTTGTGCTCCTCTGGCCCAGTTGCAAAGGTCCTTTCGAAGTAGGATCGAATTCAGAGCGGACGAACAGATGTAGTAAAACACTCTGTAGAGTATGCACCACACTATGCTGGTATCCGCGCTTAAAGCTGAAATTTAAGAAATTTCAAGAGGTGTAGTTGCCTCCGTTTCGTAAGCCTAACACTGAATAGCCATGGACAACCGGAAACGTATGTAAAACGGCATACGAAATATCCTCACATCTCCAATTCCAAAACAGTTGTTTTTGCAGGAATTAGTGGAAACATTTGTTCTTGTTCAAAACTTGAGGTCTATTCATTGGTCCTAAATCCTTTATTACTTAGCAAGTTTATCACCAACGCTCCATATGATACGAGCACCGATTATGTAGTCTGCATCTTCATGCCAAATATTTGAGGCAGCTTTGGCCTAAAGCACGGGGGCGAGATCAAAATAATTTTCCACCTTGCATCTAAGCAAAGAAAGGATTGGAGCCTTGAGAGTATCACCGATTTCGGTGACATTTTTGGAACTCTCCTTCAAAATGTGCCAGCACTTAATTTGGTCACTTTCTTCCACCCGCACGGTCCAGTGCTTCCAAGGTAGTTCACTAAATTACTCTACTAAGCGCCGAGTTTATACACTGCATCACATTTCCACGATGAAACTCTGCAACAACTTCCCTTTGCCTCCCAGGAAAAGAGATGCATTAACCTGCGTGTCTTTAAAATGAGAAGCGCAAAAATGTTGGGGAAACCTACACACCTGTTAAGAAGTCGAAAATGCTGTCGAGGTTATCAATGAAGCGTTTGAAATGAGGTTTTCGTCGCAACCAGGTGTTCTGAGGCCGCAGACCGCCTGAAACTGACACAGTCAATGCTTGACAGGTCAGATTGGGGATAGGTTCGTACTCTAACAGCGCGCCAGTCACCAACGCCTGAGGAAACACGACTTCAGCGACCTGCGCCATTAGGAGCTACAAGTGTTAGCAATAACAAGGGAAAGTAGGAACTATCTTGCCAACGACTATTCAGTCGCAAATAAGGTCTTACGCCTCTGGATTCGTTGACTGGAATTTGAGTAGTTGATATAGTGAAAGGCTGAAAAGACCCAATTAATTCGAGACGGTCTATACTGCTATCTTGATAGCCAGTAGGAACAAGCACATTAAACTGCTAGCCACAATAAAGTCAGATTGTTCGTTCACAGGCTTTGAAAATGATAAGAACGATTGCAGAAGCAGCGGACCAAGCACTTCTAAACCGATAACCTTCCACGACCTAAAGAGTATTAGTGCCTGCCTTTGAAATGATTTAAAACTTTTAGCCATCCCATTAGTTATTATTAAGAGATACAAGGTTTAAAGTCTCAAGCATATGTCGGCCTATATCCACGGATCTGAATTTACTCCCTTACGCCCTTAGCATTGCCTTTTGAAGCCCACTGACACCCGTGAGTACATCCAACTGCGGCTTTGCCAAAAATTCTTCTGCAGGACATTCTAAAATGCTACTGAACTTGAAACTACCATGATGGCATCCCAGTATTAACTAATGCCCTTCAGTTACTCCCAGCTAAGTCATTACTTTCACATTAAGGCTCCATTGCCAACTCAAAGGTCGGAGCGTAGGATTTGGAAGCGGATGCCTGAGTAATTTTTCATGGCATTTGTACAATCTAACTACCTCTCTCTTGTGATTGATACACTTGAATACCATCATTTACCCAAAGCATCACACCTCGGGGCTGACGGATAGAAATAGCAAACAACCGCGTACCATGCTAAATAACAGTACGTTTGTGCTTCCAACGCCTTCACTCTTGCCACCACTTAATGAGCTACCGGTTCCTTAGTTTGGAGGTGAGCAATTCTGCCTGAAGTGGTAACCTGGTGTGAATAAAACGCTTCAACAGCGAAAAGTCAATTCTTTTAAATTAAACTCCATTTTTCAGTTCAACAAGGTGGAGCAAACTGTAAAAAAAAATTGAAAACATCTGGTGAGGCCTCTTGACAATCACGCGGTTTTTAATAGTCCTCGCAGAGTTACAATGTTAGCATTCATAGCGAGATACGTTGATAACTACACCAAACTTTTAGTTGGCTGACGCATGCCATTGCTGCCCTGAAGGACTCACCCAATTGGAGTAAACAGTCCTTCTTCCCTTACCATAGTGCAGTTTATTAGCAAAAGTACTTCAAAGCAAATCCCATTAAAGGAAATATCCAATTTCCGCAATCTGTAATTCAGTTTGTATGCAAGAGGATAGGCATTTTATCGAAAAATAAGTAGTACTGATCCGATGTTAGCGACCTATAATATTCTGGTTTAGCAAACCATGAAAGGAACCTGAATTCCGTTTGCAAAATATCATCACTCAGTTAGAAATTACAGTAAATCTACAAAGATTTGTGGAACCTGCCATAGGGCCTCTTTTATCGTAACTCGGTCCCTTCAGACACTCACTCAGGACAGCTTAACTTGAATGTTTTTTGCCAAATTCCGTCCAAATCGTGGGACTGTGAGCATGGTCAAGCCTAACCGAGATGCCTAGTTGTGGCCATTTATCCACCTTAGGCAAACTTCTGCATCCACGCATTTTGCTTCGCCTGAGCGTTGTCTTTGAATCTACTGCCCCGTCATCAAATTAATGCACAGCAAATACTGCCAAAAGAGACCGGACATGTACTCGTACCTGGAAGGCCAGAGTGATGACATCGTTGAGGAGGGGTATGAAAGGACTAATGTCATAATTCTGCAGTTCATATACCCTCTCCTCGTCGCTCACATTTCCTCCTCCATTGTCACTGAATTTGTAAATGCAGTTACGCAGACCAAATGAATTTATCATCCAGAAAATGATAGTTTCTTTTGAAGAGGATTGTCTCTGAAAAGGAATAAAATACAAATAAAATAAATAAAATAATAAAATACAAATACAAATGTTATGGAATGAGGTGCTGGGTATCACGAAGTCGCGATTCGCATCTATGCGTTAAGACAAGGTCTTCGTGAGGTCCCAATGATGTCTTTTCTTGTCAGGAGCTCATCAGTCTCTCTGTACATCTAGATGGAGTTCCTTCCTAACTTCAGCACCTGTGAGCACCTTTTGGAAGGGGTTCAGATTGATAGGCATCCTGGACGCTGCAGGAGAAGGGATCTGAAGCAGAGGACCTAATCGGAGTAGATTCAGTGAACTCCAGTTAAAGCAATTTGACAATGGCATACGTTGTCAAAAAGTGAGTAGAGTTGGTGGAAAGCAAGCCATGGAGGATGGATTAATCACGGTACTGCTAATCTACTTTTGCTTAGAAACTAAATTTTAATACGGGACTTCTACGCCTGGAGTAACTACCTTACGACCGCAAATGGTTAGAAGTAGAAGAATAAATTATCTCACATTGATCACACACTGCACAGCCCGAATTGTGGCGGTAAGTAGGGTAGAAATTTGAGCCTCGTTGTGCACGGCATCGGCGCCACGCAGTAGAAGAAAAACCAGTTCTGCCACAGCCAATGGGGCCCAAGATTTTGCTTTTTGCACGTCTAAGTCTAGCATCAGGCATAGAGTTAGGCCAATCACAATGGCTGCTAACTTACCTTTCACTAGATGCTCGATAAATATCTCTTCTTTGCCCTCCATACACCGGAGCAGCTTCGATTTTGCAGTAAAATCATGAACTCCATTCTAAAAAAGTTGATCTTAATTTACCCATTTAAGTGTTGACTTGAGGCACTTCAAGAACTCACTTCATTAACTCTGCTTTGTGCGACAGCAATCAATTGTCGAATGTCAAGGAGATATGGCGAGGTCGTCATTTGAAGGCAATCAGGTGCACGCCGATGAACCAATTCGGCGAAATACTTTGTTGCTGAGGTCAACTAGTGGAGGTGGACACTTATTTCGTCTACACAACCTACCCGTCTATTGAGTGCGTTTGCAGTTGACAGTTGCTCTTGCAGCACAAGGTTATCTTTGGCCAATCGGGAGACGCGGTTCTCAATGTCATCTTGTGTGGACATATCCTGCTTGAGGGTAGAAGGCAGCGGCTTTCCATTTAAGGAAAGTTTGAGTATCATTATAAAAAACAGGTGAATCACTGTGTGAGTGGAGAACAAGCCTTAAAAACAAGCATACTTATGGTTCGATGCGAAAGTAAAATTAGGCGTGGGATTTAAAGATCGAAGCCTCTGTGTATCAAATGTGTAGATAGAATGGAGTACCGTTCCGGAAGGAGAAGAGTAGCATTCCTTGAAAAGCCGAAGCTCTTCATTTCGTTCGTTTAGTGTTGATTCAAGCTGCGATTTCTCTGCATTGAGTATGTCGATCTCCTTTTGTAGTCTTCTGCAAATTAAGCAAGAACATTAGTCAGTAAAATATCATCAGCATATTATTATTATTATTATTTACTGACTAGCCAGTAGATGCACCTTATGAAAAGGAGATCTTGCCACCGGATTGCGTCAAGCAGATAGATCTAAACCGTGGTTTCAGTTTGTCTTTTAATAGGAAATTTATGGGACTTGATGATAAAGTACCGTTTTTAAAAGTGTACAGAAGTGGCTGAGTCGTAATGATAAGTCGCAATATATTGAGGCTCAATGCCATCTTCAACAGGTATGTTCACAGCAGATTCGGTTGCAATAATCTGACAAGTTCATGGCATGCAGTTCGCCAGCACTACCAGGAGAACAGGATGCTTCTGAGTATTGTCGTGCTTGGCACAACAAATTTTTAAGAGCACCTTTGCGTGTTACTTTTCACCCCTTTGTACATCCCAAACGATATGCATACTTCTGAAACTCTGGTATCGAGTTAGATTCGGTTGACCGGAACAGATAAAAATTAGATCAAATTTGTCGGATCCATTCGACCTATAATGCTAGAAGTACAGCGGATTTCTGTACCACACCGTTGGAGTGCTGTATGGAGCCGCGGGTGCCTTCAAGTTGCATGCAGTGGCCGGTAAATAGGCCACCCTGTCACACAAAGGATTTAACCCAAACTTGAGGAAGTTTTTCTTACCTACTGGTCTCACGATGAATTTGAAGCATATTCTCAAGATTCTCCAAGTCATTGGCGTCTGTTTGAACCTCTGCTGAGAAGCTACTCTTTGCTGAAGCCTTTTGCCTCTGACTTTCAATCCACTCCTCTAAGCGACGAATAGACACTAAAATGAAATAGAATTGCAAATGTACCCATAATGCTTTGTTCACGTGACCACCTGTATGTCTGTCGGTAACTTTGATTTTTGGCATGCTCTTGTGTGTACCAGTTGGTCTTCGGGTCAAGCCAAAGCTCATTCCCTTCTCTTCCTAGAATACATGTACTCAGTCCATCTGAATGCTTTCTAACGTCTCGCGAGGGGCATGACGATTGCAGTAATAAAATAGGCCTGACTAAATGCGCACCTGTCTTTATGATCTCCGTATCTCAGACCTTTAACATTTAATTATCAAATAACCTTAAAAAGTTCAATAAATGGGGCGGAAACTTTTACTTAGCAATTCCTTCAAAAAGTAAAGTAGCTGTTTAACGATTAGCACTTGAATGCCGGGAAAATCGAGGGGTTCGTATGAGCAGGAAGCCTGATTCTTGAAGAGCTACCCAAAATCATGCTAGCAGATAAAAATACGATGAATAAGATGAAATTAGGTGTAACTTCTACTCAGTACAGCTACCTTTTGGATCTGCTTGGTTCTTATATTCTCAGGCTCACGACGAATGTGTAACTCGTAAAACCTTCCCATAGTCCATTTCACTGTTTAAACCCATGAGATCAAAGCAGATTCGCCATTCGTTTGCAAGTGTGATCTCTTTAAATCTCTATTACTAAATAGTAGATAGAATTAAAAGTTCCTCCTTAGGTAGTCTCCTACCATGGATTTTCCAATCCATTTGTGAACGGTCTAGTGAAGATGGATTCAGCCTATGATGAACTACAACTATGATTTTATTTTATTGAAATCAAGGTGTTGATTTTTCCAAACCTCTCGGATCTAGTTTCAGATGTCCGGATAGTCCTTCCCCAAAACTCCTCATGAGAGCAGACAAGTCCGTTTCTTTCCTTATCAAGAAGGTTGGCAACCTTTTTTTTGAGCTGAGATAAGGGAAAAGGGAATGTCCTGCATGGCCAAGTTTAAAGTCTAAAGTGAAATCGAACATCTTGCCTTGAGCTTCAAGTTGTCGAGCTTGAGCGTTTACGAAGGACTCTTGATACATTTCTAATTTTCGGTAGAGTTCCTCTTTCTCTGCATCGAGAGAAGAACATCGCGCCTGCAGATCCAACAGCAGATTTATGTTGACTTTGGCTTGTTGGTCAATCTACAAAGTTGGAAAACGCAGTAGGGGATATTTATACCCAGCTTAATCCTAATTTTTATCAAAACTAAAAATGGTGCTAGATGTTGCCAAGTAAGATGCATAATAGTCAGATTCCTCATCGTTAGTCGAGCCCATCGCTCCTCGGGGCGTCAAGCGGTATTAGCTGTGGATGAATGCCTGCAGGAGGCCTTGCTGATGAACAAACATTTTGATAAACAGAAGTGTTAAACCTGTAGCTGCCGAATGAAGGTTTAACGTTTGTGCACGGCAATGAGATTCAGACTCAGAAAGACAATTTAGTCAGGAAATCACTCTAGAAAATATAGTGATGCCATCAGTGGTGATTAAAGCTACAGTAACTTCCAGTCTTCCACCAAAGAGGTCAACTATGTTTGAATTCTATCAACAAATGGAGGGTTTCATGTTGAATAGCACGATGTGGAACCAAGTTATAATCAAAATGGGTTTCCTACGGAAAAGTTAAGCATTGTCTCAGCATTAAATAGGAAGTAAAGCAGATCATCTTAGGGCAGAAGACGTATTTCTATGTATTACCTTTGGTCCGATTTTTATTAAGGCGGGGTTTATCAATTTACTTCAACTGACCTCAATTTTCTGTCCCGACGTGGAGACGAAGTCTTCGGTGAGTGCCTTCAGTTCAACTCCGACTGGAGTGATTTTGTGTAAATTTCGACATAATTTGTGTCTTGAATGATAGTTCACCTCTTCGTAATCACCAAAATCTCTGTCAGGTTGACTTCGACTGCCTTTGTGGTTGTCTGTAAGTGACAGGAAGATTTTTGAAAACTTCTCATTCATAATTACATTCAAACTGAGGGGTCTTATCATGCTTACTGAGCCGATTGTGTTTCCTCTTTTTGCCATCTTCCACACCCTCTTCCTCCTTCTACAAAGTAGGCAACAGTAAATAAATTAAATTAAATTTAACTCCTAGCCACAAAATATTGCACCTTCATCAGCTTTGAAATCTGTGATTCCTTCACAGCAATTTCACTGTCCCGGGCTTTCAGTTGGCTTCGAAGACTGGTTATTTCCCGCTCCAACATCTCAATTGTCCTCGTCTTGCCTTCATCCGCTTCGGTCTTACTAGGACGTAAAGTTTTGTGTCTGCGAAGAAGGCTGAGTGCACGGTTGTAGGTTTTCGACGGCTAAAAGGAAGAAAATTGCACCTTTGACATGGAAAAAAACTTTCTTACCCCCGTTTCGAGTGCAAATTTGGTGGCTTCACTAAAAAAATCGAGAAAGAAAAACAGATGCATGAAGCCACCTATAATCCACGTTATATCAAGCTAAAGCATGTGGATCCTATACGAGTAAATCGGCTCACCTTGCCTCTAACTTTCGTTGCTGGCTTTGTCGTAACGCCTGAAGATGCTCCCGAGCCAGCCAGCGACGTGCAAAGGCCTGAATTGCTGTTATCTGTCGAAGGATCGGTTGGTAGCGTCGTCGAGTAAGCCATCCCCTTACGTATTTTTGAATAACGATCGTGGCTAACGTAATTCTTGCACTATGCGCGCGTTCAAGGTGTGCCAAAACTCCGTTACCGAAAAATATTTTGGTTCTCCCCAGACGGTACCTATCCGGATCCTAGAGAGAAAGAGCGCTTGTGAACACCTGACAATTGCATTTACAACCACTTTTAAGCCTGAACTCAAAGGATTGTTGAATGAGAAGAGCATTCTCAAGCCTTGTTTTGAACAGACAGGAAGAGAGACAATGTAGAGTCAAATGTGCTCTTGACCACGCACATCCTTCAACTGTCGCGTGTTACAGAACAAAGGCCAATTTTGCAGCATTATATATTTATTCGGCTTCAAGATGGCTTGACTCATGCAGTGACAATTTCATTTCAAGGTAAGCAAACTTCGTGAGTCAGTATTATCGCAGGTAAAATTTTCCAGCTCACGAACAGCTTCCTCATAGGAAAATAATATAGTTTACCTAGTAGTTATCAATCCAAGTCTTTTGGAGGGTATGTGAGACCATGTTTTACAGGACACTGTTAGTAAAAGTAATGTGAAGTACTGATATGACCACCTCGTCAGTATACGATGATATCGAAGCGGAAATTCAAAAGGAATGCGTCTTGCTCTTTAAAATATTGTTTTATGATGCTGAAGTTGTGCGAGCCTTACTATGCCGGCTAAATAACTTTATGTACCCACCGCTGCTTCAAGACATGCTCAGACGTGTTTCAAGATGACTAATGCATGAAGTGACAAGATGCGCAGGCAAAAATACTCGCCTTCACAATAGCGTGTAGAATGATTTCTGACTTCTTGACAGGATCCTTTTCAAAACGGTGATTGTCGGGACAAAGCCGCCAGTATCGACTCAAAAAGTCCTCGTACGTCCACCTGAAAGCCGCCAAGGATTTTCGAAAATCACCATGTAAACTTTCAAAAGCACACTGATTTCAAATGATTTATTTCCTAAGAATTTTAAATGGATGCAAAATCTTGCATTGGTGGGCACATTTAAAGAAATATGGTGGAGGTAGCGCAGACATCCGTGCGTTTGAATTTGCGAAGCACGAAGTTTGAGGGCTTCATAAAAAGAGCTACTGTCAAGCCTCACTTGTTTTTTTCATAACCTAGTTATTAAAATTAATAAGCAGAAAAATCAGTAAAATTTGTGCCATTTCTCCAAGTCATGTCTAGACGTGGTGAAAAATGCCACCAATGTGTGAAGGAACGCTCTGCTTCTTGAGTGAGGAAAAACGAGGAGCCCCACAGTTACATGTCATTCTACGCCTGGAACGGTTATCCCCCTCGAGATCTGATTTCTCCAAGGCGTTCGATTTGTCTTCACTTAACCAGCCTGCTAGTCAATTGAAAGGCTTTAAGTCAAGTGTTTTGGAGTGCTAAAATAAAGACGCTTTACGTCTCCAATTATACACATAACCTAGCGCTAAAATGATGCTTCAGTAATAAATTGACAAAGGCGTTTGGCATTGAAGAAACGCGATGCAATGCAGCTAAAAACAATCTTTGTAGCCATTCACCTATATCTAAATCCATTAATGTCCTCCTCAAATCATAATGTCCTTGTGAAACGATAGATGGTGACATTTGATAGGCATAGGGCTAGCTAAGAAACAAACCATAAAAAGGAATTGCGTCCTGCATTGCAACCTTCCAATCCACGTTAATGGAAGTGGTGGTAATAAATGTGTTTGAAATTTGTCTACTGCTATACAACACCGCAGTACTCACTAGCAGAATAAATAGGGAATGCCTTACCTTGATGGATAACCGGCAGCACTGATCTTTATGGTTTGTAGTACACCACAAGCTCTCAGTTGTTGCATCACCCTTTCTGGACAAAATCTGGAAAGTGGAAAAGGAAGAAATGGAAGAGCATGAGAAGTCATCTAAGGCGAAGTAAGAACTGTCGTCAAGTGAGAGAAAAGCGAGTTAATTACGTGAATGGTGCCTTGTGGTCGTTGGGTTTAATGCACCGAACGTAGTGACTCGTTGTACGATTTAGAATTCCCATCAAGGTCGCCAGGGATGTCGAGAACTGGATCAGAGTTCACGTAATACAAAGGGTTAGTAACTTAGGTCCAGTGATACATTTTGCCGGTTCGAATATGAACTAACTCCGACTAAAGAACCTTCTCTTAAGGTTAATATCCACAAATTACCAAATTTTGATTTCTCAGAGGGTCCAACATCATCAGCATGAAGCATTTACTAGCCTATACAGATTCTTCTTCAAATTACGGTTATTTTCTAGAACTTGTCTTATTATTACGCCTTGATGAAAGTTGAGAAAGTGGACATTGGACTAGATGGGACGCCACTCTGTACACCTCAACAAAATCCATCCAAAGGTCACTCACACAACAGCAATTCAACCAGCATTTGATTATAATTTTATCCATTTTAAAGCAAATGGTCTAATATTTCTCACCGATAATTAAAGTAAGCCTCAATTCCTTCTCACCTGAGTTACGACCGTTGGCTTGGCAAAAATTCCTTGATGCTTTCCCGCGTTAACGTTTGTTTCTCCAAAATTTTCTACCATTTTTCGCAATATTGGGCTCTAAGGTAAAAATGCCAAGAAATCGGTTTTCGCGCAAAACCTTACTCTTATTGTTTGACAGAGCAGGATAAGTAAATCAAAAGTGACATCCTCCAACCCTTCACTATCTCTTCTGCAGTGAGGCGTTATGTTGGCGGATCGTATCGTTCAAGCCCTTTTATTCCTTTTCACATGAACAGAATACATGCTCAATATCGAATGTGTTTTAGAGAGCATGCAGTTCAACCTGCACCCCACTTCCAACCCATAATGAGCAACTTGTAAAATAAACATATTCTGGACTCGTATTTGGATTGACTTGAAGACAACTAATGGGAAAGTCAATTAAAGTTGTAACAAATGATTTTAGAGGAAGGTCTACAAATACTAATCACAAGTTTATTTGGCACTTCGTATATTTTGGCTCACAAATGCGATGTATGTACTTGCCTTGGTGTTTGTCAAGAGGTCTGCATGTTCTGGAATGATTCGATCCAAGTTCTTTTCCACAAATCCATCCACAGCGTATTCAACTTTTTCAGAAAAGTGTTGAATCGTGAAGCGCTCCGCAGCCCAGAACTTGGACTGACTGAAGTCACGACTTCGGCCTAAATGCTCATTGCAGAGGCGACCCAACCAGTTTCGGTCCTGTGGTTTTGGCAACTTGAGTCAGAACAAAAATGTGCAAGTTAATTTCCTTCTCTAATCTATCATCAAATTATCTGAAGGCATATGGAACCTCCATTCAGTACTGGTTAAAGTCTTGAGCCACGGCCACCTGGTTTGATTTGTTTAAAATCGCTGAAACGTTGAATTTGAACGGTTTGAAGAAATTAATGTTACACCTAGTAGGGCCTCAGCTTTTAAACAAAACACGGTAAATGTCTTATGTCTAGACGATGGGTGCGAGGACCATTTAAAGTAATATTTATCGCTTGGAGGAAGTAACTACCTTGCATTCATCATTCAGTAGTGCAATTACACCCATCGGTCCTTCTAACAACTGAATACAGGGTTCGTTGCTGTAGTATTCCACAAAACTCCATTCCAGACCTTCATGAATGTACTCTTCTTGCTCCAATTGGAAGACATTCTGCATAAGGAAGGGGAGTTGGTAACCGCTGCCTTGATGTTTGGCTGTCACTTATTGCACCAATTAGACAAATAAACTAACTCACCTTAATGAAGCGTTGCTGCAATTTTTCGTTGGCATAATTTATGCAGAACTGTTCAAAGCTATTGACTTCATTTGTCTCAAAACCATAAATATCGAGAATCCCAATAAAGTTGTCCTCCGTTGGCTTCTCCTAAGGTTGGACGAAATAGAGATTACTCTCACACCAGGAGAGTTAAGTATCCGTACGTGGTCGACTACTCACTGAGCAAGCAGCCAGAGATTCGTTGCATCGCGTTACAATCCACTCGAAGAGCACTTGATAGATAAGTTTGGCAAGAGCATCCCTTGCTGAAATGGCCTCCAGGACGGTCAAAGGCTTGTGCATTTCACCCTCAACAGTGTGAATGATGCGAAAGCAGAGGCAGCTGTAGGCTGGTCCTCTAGAGTCTGAATGGACGTCACAGCGGAGCAGCCGAAAGGCTTCTTGGAGCGATCGCTCACCATCACCCTATGTAAATAAAGGGGACATTGTGACAGGGTTTTCTTGTAGATTAATCGAAATTTCAGTACGCGGTCCATGCATACCGGCATCAGGCAACAGCTCATATCCATGAAGTCATGAATCAAGACAGGAATTTAAAACAACTGTATGTCTATGACCATTTCAAAAGACTATGCAGGAAGGGGAAACAGCGTGTGATCTTCAAGCATGCCCGTGGGTGACTATCTCTACAACTATTACTGACACCTTTGATGTTGGTGCACTACTTACTCCACACTGGATTCCGCCTGATCTATTCGGAACATAGCATTGAGTTAAACTACACACGGGATGGTTTTTTTCTGGAATTATTAAAAACGATTATTTGTAATAGCAGTTGTTTCTAAAAGCTAGCCCAAGCTTGACAAGAGGTGGAGTTTCGCACCCCCTAAAAAGGTTCCCCTCATCTACTTTAAAGCGCAGCAACTCGAATTTGCAGCGTTGAAGTGATTTTTATGCTTATTGTTTCACCTGCTCCATCTTGGAAGTCAGCTTTTGGCTTCATGGACAAATACTCCTATATGAGAAGGAAAACTAGTACCAAATTCCTTTAAAACAAATTTAGGAATCCTCTCAGTTGTTTGAAGTTCTTTTACTTAGCCCTATCGAAGGTGCTCTCCTCTATGATACGAAACCAATTTCATTTTCTTGTTTGAATTTCAGTCTTAACACAAACCAAATCTTATTTGGAGGTCTACCTTCCATGACGATTACAACCTACAGTAAGCTGAGAATCGCCCCTTGAAATCTCCTCGTACGTGACATTGCCCAGGTGTAGAATGGCTGCCAAGATCTTTAAAACTGTCTTCACCTCGTCATCGCTAAAATCTAAAATAGGAAAGGGAGTAGAGGACACTCCATCCACATGCTAAGAGGAAGCGCGTTCTAGAACGTACGCAGATCTTTCATTGACTGTAGAGTGATTACGAAGTCCTCCAAATCGTCCGTCTCCGTCTCCCGCCACTTGGCGGCATAGTGGTAGGTAGCAGAACGATCGAGAGCCATTTCATTGAGAAAAGAATAGGTTTTCTTCAATTTGGGATCACTAGCAGCAGCAAGGAGTTGGTAAAAAATATGGTAATTCCGTTCATTTTTGTCCTAAAAAGGTGATAAAACAAATCCATATAGGGAACTGGTTGCCTCATGAATCCGTAACTTACTGTCTACAACACTTATTAAAATCTGGAGGGAACAAGCACACACTTGGACCACTCAACTGGTCAGGTTAATAGTCTTAGATTCAAGTACCTTCCACTTGATAGGATTTGTGACTGACGACTTGGTGTATTAACACGTCATTGATGGAGAAAGAACCTGTCCCGTACAATAGTTTTTAATAAAAACAATCGCTGTTGGTTGAGGTGTCAGTCATTGTCAGCCAAGTGAACGCCCGGTATCACTCAAAGTTGATATGGTAGGTAATATCGAAGGAAGAAAATTGGCGAACTTTGAACTTCGGTGCTTTGTCAAATGACTCAGCTTTTGAGGAAGTATGGTTGTGTTCAACGACAAAAACCTGAACAAGGGAAAGTGTTCTCCTATCACCAGCATTGGTCTCAAACAGAACAAAACTTCGGATATAGCAGCATTTCTTTTCATTCGAATGTATTCTCGGGTGCGTACAAATTTGATAACTCGTGAGATCAGTCCGTGAGTGTTTCTCTTAACGATGCTTAAAAGATATTCCAGGCTATATAGTGCTTTGTTGGATTGTCTGACTCCTCGAGAGGACTGGAGCCTGCGACTACTCCAATTCAGCTCAGCAGATTTACTGGCTGACCAGCCGCACTTTTATCCTCTCTAATAGATACTCGGCTCAACATCAAGTGTTTAGCCGTCTTTCAATGCTTATCGAATGTAGTGCTTTCTTAAATTATCAACAGTTGTGCGTTGAAAACTAAAAAGTGTGAGAAACCAACTTTTCTACCTCAAGGACAAAGAATACTCTCGTAACACACCGACACATAAGAATAGGGTTTTAAAAAATGGGAGAGTCATGTTTGAATCGGGCGTGCGCTTCAAATTCGGAAGAGCAGAAGTTCATTTACAATTAGTTAAGCCTTTGCATTCCATCTTGCTTCTCTATAAAATTTCTTTATTTTTGATCACGAAGATAGTTTAGTGCGGCTAAATCACGGTGAGATCATCTGTGTGTCCCTGTCTCCAGTATGGATTGAGTTTACGGAGTGGGTAAAATATACACCACTCGAGATAATCAGCAGATGATTGTAAATCTAAGTGTCCATCGAGCTAGAGGCTCGGATCGAAGCACCTTGATAGAAGTTGGAATGCATGCACCATTCGAGAGCTCGACAATGCGGTGAAGATCAGCAGCGATAGGCTTACACACGTGCGAAGTAAAACCTACCCATCACTAATCGCCACCGTAACCATGGTCTACAGAATGTACTAATGGATCTCTGTGCGTTAGGAAGTTGCTCATGCACTTCGTTGCTCTACAATCATGGGCTGGTATACGGTCGGGAGCATCGGAGACTACCGTCGCCTAGTTTCTTGGTGAACAATGCCAGGTCCGATCGACAGACCAACCGACAGTCCGACGACCAAATGATTGTGGTATGGTGGATGTTAGTCATCATGACTATAAGATTGTTTCGCTCGTGCCTACGTCATTATTTGACTTGAACCATTTCCATAGCACTTGAGCTTTAATTTCTAAAAAATGGACGGAATGTCACAATTCGGGAATGAAAAAGGGCGAAAATGTAATCGATCACATTCAAACACTAAGTGCTATTTCATTTCTCACCAACCTGTAGCACAACCCGAGATTTCTCCAAGAGATAGGTCTTAATGCACGCCCGCACAAGACAGTGGCCAACTTGACTGAAACCGACCTCCAAAAACTTGCCGAATCGGCTACTGTTGTCGTTGTGGATAGTCCTAGCATTGCCCAAACTCTCTAACAAGGGTGAGCTGGCCAGAACTCGTACTGCCATGGAGGCCGTATCATTCTCCACAATCAAACCCCTGGAATGTCGCGTTGTCATTGCCGTTAGATACTTTAGCACATGCCTTGCAGAAACTGTCTTTCCAGCACCGGATTCGCCCGATATTATGATAGACTGGTTTTGCTGTAATCTACAAAATATTCATAGTTTTAAAATTGAGTAAAACACCAAAGACAATCTGAGAGAATTAGATGACAGACATCTTTTGCATCTTAATTATGTTGTTATAGTGCTACACACTCTAGTAATTGAGAAGTGTGTCACTCCCACCACCACCACCACCACCGCATCGTTGGTAGTCATTTGGGGAGTTCTCCATGCTGTGCCCAGGTTTGGCATATACCGCTCTTTTCATCTTTAGCAATTACACAGAGTCTATCAAACTCTTTTAAAAATGCATAACACACAACTTCACCAATGATACATTTAGAATCAAACAGAGCTTACCACTTAAACGATGTCTCCATAGGTGCGAGTTTAAAATATCTATTATATGGTGCAACAAAATGCAAAAACACTTACAACTTCATTCGACTGAATGCCTCGTCCGCAATTGCAAAAATGTGAGGATCTCGTCTGGTCTCGTTATCGACGTTGTTTTGGTTGTAGGCGCTCATAAACTCCATGCCATAAATTGGGAGGTCATCATAGGGATTTATCGCAATCAGAAGTAGCCCTAAAGCGTGTGCTTGTGTCATAGTCGATTGCCACTTAAATGTGGAGAAAATGCTCGCCAAAAGTGGCACTGTTGTTGGATTATTCAGTGCAAATGCATGTCAAAAACTAATAAAGTGCGTATGTATATCCTAAGAAATTAAAACTAAACGAAAACTGTTATCAGCTGCTTGTTTCAGCAGGACATACTGCTCACAAACTGGTAGTATGCCATGCATTATTTGACAACAGATCGTGTGCTTAAAATGACATTTGAAGCAGCTATAATATTTTTTAGAAAACCAGGAGGAAGGCGATTAAAATATAAGCCATACACAGTTGACCGTCTTACCACAGTAGGTGTAGATTTCATGATGGTCGCAGAAACGCGTCCTCAAAGTGTGAAGCACTTTAGAAAACGGAAAATTAATGATTCAAGACAGCATATTTTAGCGGAAAATACAAATTACATGACTGCACATAATAACACAGGGCTTAAATTTACACTTTATGCTATGAAGTCAGAGCCGTTTTTGACATAACGCGACTGGCGAAAACATTAGATATTGTAACCTAGGCACTGCAACGAACTTCACCTTCTGGTTCGTTGATAAAATCAAGACCAGACAAATCTATTTGAGGGGTGCGGCCGTAGCCGCAGTCAAACAGTGGCGAATCTTCAGTGCAGTATGTGTTCAAGTCAACGGTTTCCTGTTTGTTTGAATCTAGCCACCGTAAAAGAACATCTCCATCCGATTTAACCTTCAAGATAGCAGCTGGTCTCCATGTGGATTTAGATTGCGGAATCCACAAAGACGAGCCCTCTTGAATGGAAAACTGCGATATAGGGATAGTAGGCATCTGTAAAACATCTAACGAATAAAAAATATGCCAATAAGAAAAAAATATAAATGACTCGAAGCCCTAGTGTAAAGAAAAAGTCTAGCTAAAGTGTTAGCGAATGCATAAAAAAGAATTGAACTCGATCTAAGGTAATACTTGCTAAGCTTATAGGTAAAAAATAAACGATAAGAGAAGCAGCTACCGACACCAAGCTCTTTATAAAAAGCGGGCATAGAGTGGTCGCCGAATTGACCTACAAACGATATCGCATAGTGAAGGTTTAAAGTTCGCAAGAACTTGGCAAAGACAGCAAAATACATCGCGTTCGGCTGCATTTGTTCAAGGTTTCATTGCACATCAAAGCGTTTGTGTGGCATTGATAAGGGACATTTGCAACCAGCAATTATTGCGTTTATTTGATAGGGTTTTGTATTTACATGTTTGAGTAAAAAGACCTCATTTAGCAGGAGCTGATAAACAATGCAACAATCATCCCCAGACTCTCACATTAATTTCTATACGTTTTGCTTTTTATTTGATAAACTATGTTACATTAGGCCTGAATTGTGAGTCGCATATCAAGTTGGACTTTTAGTTTGCAAACGAGCTGCGATCCACTGATCTTGCATCGGAATTCTGCGCAAACATTTTAATATTTCTCCTGATACCCAATATCAAGAGCATGGTGTCTGTTCTTTAATTTTCATTACTTAGGCGCCTTTAATCTCGCTGCTTGTGCCGACTTTTCAATTTGCGACCTTGTGCTATGGGTAGTCTCGATCTCTTAGCAGATGTTTTCAGAGGTTCGCCTACGCTCGAAAAATCGAGTAAGTGTTCTTCAGGTGTAACCAACTTTGTAAAACAAACATTGCTCCGGTTTTCTTGTTCCAACTTATTTCGATATTCACCTCATTGGCAATTCATACTACGTACACTGCTCGTTAACTGTACTGGATGTTCACTTGAGAGCTCTCTAACTCTTGAAAGTTTAGGTTTCTGAACTAAGGTCAAATCGGATAGGAATTATTTTTATCGCTGCTTTCAATCAGTGGTGGTATTTTATTCGTTTTAGTTGCAAAGGCGATTGGCGACAAGGATTCCAGGCGTATATTTCACTTCAATGAGATACGCCAACATTTCCTCTCTCCTGAGATCTCTCCTCAACGTCAGGCTGAAATGATGAGAAAGGAATTGTCCATTGCCCTTAAGACACCGAAAACAACTCTTCATCTTGTAAATCTCATCCTCATGCTCTTTACTCACTGTCAACCTGGCTTTTCTGATGCTTTACTTGAGAAGAAGTCGATGGAGGAGTTGATAGCATATTTTGTCCTCCTTAAACCTCGTTTTAACACGGTCAAAAAACTTGCTTGGTTCATCAAGGTAATCTATTCCATAAAGCTGACTCGTCGTTCAGCTCTTGATTTCTTCATCTGAAGACCTAAGGGAAGCGCCAGTGTATAACGAAGATCTTAATAAAATAGGAGTGGATGCATTTAGTCGGGACTCGTGGGTTCCAGAAATGGTACGTGTTCTTGATTGTGCAAAATTAGTTGAAGCGTTTGCTATCCACGCAAATAGGGGTCCATATGTAGATTTTGGGTACTAGATATTTATTTGTCATCAACTGCCACTTCTGTAGTCTTCTGCCTGATAGCGCATGCTGTAAGGGAATGCACGCATTGCTATCAAATTGAAGGTGGTATGTATTTCACTTTTGTTGCATTGGAGATAAGTCCACTCTTTTGGCTCTTTACATAGATAATCGTGTGTTTATGTTCACTTCACGCACCAGGTTTAGAGGTCTTTTATCATTCCTGATAGGATTTAAACCAAGGCAAATCTTGTGTATTTTAGACTATTGAGGATTACTATGAGCTTGAAGATTTGATCGTCAGGAAACATGGCGATCTGAATAGGGTTGCTAGTGCCATAAACTCCATCAATAAATCTGATGACGTAAAGGTAAGCCTGCGGCTTTTGCGTGCGGTCATTTTTTTATTCGTTTTCTTTACTGTGTTTGTCCAGGCAATTCAGGAGCAACGAGGCATTGTGAAAGAAATGCAGGCTCGCCTTATGCGGGATGAGCTTTTCCTACAGGAAGTTCGAAACTCATTTTGTGTATCCGAATGGCCTCAAACTCAACTCTCAAGACGTTTGAGTGACATTGGCAATGCATTAGTAACTATCGACAGCTTACTGGTATGTTCTAAGTCAATGTCAATTTTTTTCTTCCATGTAGCACTCGGAAATGCATGAGAGTTGTTAGATCTTTCCTTTTGGTCTTCGGAATGAGAGGAGTCTGTCTGGGGTGAAGAGTCCGTGGGGGTAAAAAGTACATTTGTTTCATCATGCAATTTCTCTTCCGTATAAGTGCCATCCCTCGCCCTTACGCTTGATGTCAATCTGTGATGTCGGTCTTCTAGAGAAACTATTCATTTAAAAAGGGAATCGTAGGCTGTTTCATATAATGAGAGAGGACATTCAAACCTGTCACCGCTGGTGCATCTCATCTAACGGAAAAGTGTACGACTTCTTCCACTTTGTCGGCTGCGTTAGAGGTTCAATAATCAATCCAAGAGCGAATCTCACAGACCAGTTTTCGCTTGTAGAAATAATTGTTTGGAGGGGCATTTACTTGATTAGACATGAATCTTCCATTTTACATCTGTAGTTTATATCTTGTTTTTTGTCTGGGTTCACTTGCCTTGGATGCGAATGAAGGCAATTTCGTTTTTCCGAGTGATTGGCATGGCCTTTTGTAAACATTACAATTATTCACAGTGTCATTTTGGTATGACAATTATTTTGCCCTCAATCTCTACGATGTTGGCCACTAACAAAATGCGGTTCTCTACTTGATGTTTTCATTTGACAATAAGGCGGTTTTTGCTACAGCACAAAGGTGGTGACCATACGGCTAATATTCAATACGAATAAATACCCTTCTTTTTCACTCAGATGTACACACGACTTCTGTTCCCTTCTTTTAGGCAGCGTTGAGAACTACCAGTATTTCGGCGGCTCCATTAGGATGCGTCTCTTACAGAGGAAGTTCTTGCCAGGTGAGCCATTATCGCATTTGAATGGTACTGTTCTTCATGACCTTTCGCCTTCGGAAACTAGTAAAAATCCAAAAGGGACATGAGGATCTAGCAAGACCTACCAAGGAATCGATAGACATTGACTGATCCATTTCTTGCTTTTTTGTTGAGCTGGATGAGGCGACTTCGGAAACGGACTATCGAAATTCCTCGGTAAGTATCTGATGCTTACTAATGCGCGTGAAATTTAACTTCTTACTTTTATTCCATTTGGAAATCAAATCACGTATTTCTTGTACAGAGAGAACTTCCGTTGAATCCATCTCAACAGACTCGGGTTGGTTTTTATTTAATATTGTTTTGTTACCTTCGCTCAAAGCTTGAAATCTAACTCTTCAGTAGCTTGCTTTCTTCGCTCAACTTTATCTTTCTGGGGAGTCGATGAAGCTATAGCGTTTTCATAAAATCACTGCACGTATCACTAAATTAGGCACTTCTTTCCATACCATTCTACTTCACTTTACCCCGAATGGCTCTTGGTCAACTGCTCTCAGTTCAATCATTTGTCGATGTTTTAGACATCATTCCCCCTTGTTTCTGTGGCATAAAGTCGTTGTTTAGTTCCTATGAGTTCTTTGGGGTTTCGAGGTAGGTGATGTGAAGAGGCGAGAGGCCATTAACACAGTGTTGAGACAATTATCCCAATTGACTACTTCGCCAGTGAATTTCTTTCCTTGTCACCAGGTCTGATTCAATTATTTCAACCATTTTTAAGTCTTTTAAGTTCTTTCTCTGGTTTCTATGACAAAGTCGTTGATAATTTTAAGTTCTTTAGGGTCCAGAGTTATACGAACAGAAGAAGAGGCGAATCTTTGAAGAATATAAGCGTGATATTGAGGAAATTATTTCCGTTATCGACTCCACCGACGACGTAGAGGTGAGCTTTTCAAAAGAAGGAACTTTTCCCTTTATTTTCTCATATTTGAGTTCGCCAATGTCCTTTCTCTTCTCTCAGGTATTGAAGCAACAACAGGTTCTTATGAAAGACCTTCGACAGCGCCTCACTAAGGATGCAGAGGCTTTGGAGCGTATTCGGAAGCAATATTATCCCAACTCTGCAATCGAGGAACCGTTGGCTCTTTTTCTAACTCGGACAGACTCCACATTAAACACTATTGAAAATTTACTGGTAGGCCATTCCGTCATTCACAATTCTCTTTTCGTCCCATTTTCTGTATGCTACATCTTATGCTTTTGCAGAAGACATTTGAAGAAAGTAATCAGCAAAGAAAGCCCTTACTTCTCTCGAACCCTTCAACGACGCAACAGCAACAGGTGAGCATTTCGGGTCTTGAAATCAGCCTTTTTGCTTTAATTATCAACTCTTGGGCACCACCAAACTTAATTTGAACTAGTCCTGATCCAAATGATTGCCTGGTCTGATAGCTGCGCAACATAGCTTCATCAGTGACATGCCAACTGCTTTTGAAAGGAACTGCTTGATTGAGCTGTTACTTCCTAATTCATCCAAGGCCTGCAATATCTGAATCGACTGTTTGATGGACCATTTTCATAGTGCCTTTTTTATTCGCATCATTGCCTTTACAAGTGGACTTTAGTTGACTTTCCCCTATTGTCTCCGACTATGAGTGAATGTTGTTCCTCTCTCATCTTGCAAATGAGTTCAATGTTCGCTAGTTACTTCTTTGTAATATAATTTGGGAAGAAAAGTGGTGTTAGTCTCGTTTTCGTATTTCTGAGTCATTTAACCACAATATACACTCAACTGACAATCAGATAACTACATTTCACGCTCTGAAGACGTTTATATTGCATTTTTGTTACCAAATTTTGAAGGTGGTCTAATTGACGTATCTCGATAGATGTGCACATTTGATAACCAACTCTATCATATGATTTAAACAATTCAACCAGCCCATTATTTACATCCTCAAGTGTTAAAATTGATTCAGATTCTCGAAATATGTTTGGATCTGAATTTTTCCATAGGGCTCAGTTGTCCTTGAATGTGTTTCGGGGGATAAGCTCCTGAGTCTCTCTGTATAGTAGCAGAAAAATTAATGCCACCAGACTGTGGAGACCCATTGAAGACTGGGACGATTTGTGTAGCCAGATGGATGATCAAAGTTAGTACGCCTTCATTTCAGTCTTTTTTCGTTTTGGTTACTAATCTCAGCTCTACCTTTTGCAATCCTAATTCCGGTCAGTGAAAGGCATGGTCAAAGCACACTGAATTGTGGTCGAATCATTGGTTCTCGCTCTACAACGCTGTCTTATTATCGAAACGGTATTAGTTCTCTATTATTCGGCGCTTTCATTGTAGCATTAAGGCCACTCATATGGTCTGCTTTGGTTACCTAATCTCTCTACACACTCATTTCGGCTGTCTCACGGTGCACAAGATAGTTTGTTGTTCAAATTCTCCCCAGTTTTGGCAGTCTTCTTGTACATCTCCCCTCCGTTAGTTGGTAGCTGGTAGAACGTTAAATGCTGTTCCCCCCCAGCGGACTGATTAACGTCGCTATTGAAGTTGCATCTGAGTTATCTGCTAAACATATACTGCAACCCGAGCGTCTGGACAAAGCCCTGGTGATGCCATGCAGGAAAAGAGGGAGGGACGAGGATCAGAGCGTGAACCAGGTCACCTGAAACCTCCCATTTATTTCATTTCACTTTAGGAACGAACCACCTCTGATCATGATTTATCTGAGTGCAAGATTAACGATGAGGTATGTTTGTAATTTTTTAATGAGTTATTCTCAAAATGTGAAAGTCATTGAAGCAACGTGAAGGTCGAAATAGGTGTTTTCCGTTACTTTAATCTGCTATTTTTGCTTTCAGCCAATAGATATGGCCACATATCTATGTCCGATGTGTGATCGCGTTTTTCACTCTGAGAGCTACCTTAAAAGCCACACAAAGCTAGTGCACGTATGTTGAGGAGCAATTTTCTCTTAAGCACCAATTATTCATCAACATTTTTCTTCTGGCCTTTTTAATAAGCTACTTTCGTCTTCTTCTTTACAGGGTTAAGATGTGTTCGGACGCCTTCTTCCATAGTCGCCGTCAGTCGAAAACATTTGGGACGAATTTTTGTCATTCATTCGCACTTCCATGGTTGGCTGTGTTAACACTTCTACTTACTTTTTTGATCTTTTTGCAGTGATAACGTATTTTCTTCTATTTTCATGTCACCTCTAGAAGTAATTAATGCGCAGCATTGACAGTAGTTTTACTCAAATTCACTTGGAAACAGAGCTTCAACCTTGCCGTGCAGATTTGTAGTAGAAGACTTATTGAAGCGGGATCAACTCTTGTGGTCATTTTATCTCTCGCTTCTGTGAATTTAGCTAGCTATAGCATTGTGTGTGCATGTTCCTGCCCTGCGTTGTTTGCCTTGCCCTTCAAAAGTAGTTGACCCTCTGAAAGCCATCGCCCAGCCTTGAGCACTATGCAGTGATCAAAACTGCCTTTGTAGTTTTCAATACCACTTTAGGAAGTCTGAGATGACTGCAGCTTCAGACATCCTTTGTGAGTCATGAAAATGCATTAATCCATCGTGTCCCAGCCTACATTCCTGAGTATTCGGAATTCCTATTGCACAAGATGCCAGTCGCACCTGTTGAACATAACGTTATCAACTTCTCTTCGAGAACTGAATTGGATATGATCATCTAGCAGTGATGGAAAAGCTTCTCGTCTTCTTTACACCACATGGAGCACATTGCTCTAGCTATAATTTACCTGTTGATGGCCAGCTAGCGCTAAGGAGGCCTTTCGAATCTTGATGAGTGATCGATTACGTATTTTTTGCTGATTAAAGCACTTTTTAAGTACCGTGTCAAAAGAGCTTTTGGTAAGGAATAAGGATATTTGTTTACTCGGACGTTGGGACTTATCAGGTAAACATGGGTCCACCCGCACGCTATGCATCTGTCGGTTCAGCCGACTTGTTATGCTTCACTTATTTCTCATCAATGCTTGATGATTTGTTGGATGTATTTTCATGCACTGCGATCGTTAGCCGCTGCCATGTTGTTGCCAAGTGATTGCACATACTGTGCAATGACTAGTTACATTGGCTGTTTGTCTACTCGATGCACAGCACACTTGGAATGGGTGTAGAAGCATGTACGCGAAAAAAAAAAACTGGTTTGAGAAGGTGAAACTAGTCAATTAGACTACGCTACGTTTGATTTTTGAGATTAAACTGGAAAATGTGCTTGCGTGAGGATCTGCGACCACACGTTGAAGCGGAACAAAGGCATGATTCCCTCTTGACCTTCTGTATTTCTCCCTCTTTTTTTCTTCAAGCATGGCGTATCATCTTGTTGTGGGCTTGTATGATGAGGTGTGAGGTTTTTGCGATAGTATGACAAGTAAGCCGTACTGGCAAACTGGAAACTACTATGCTCAGCTTCAATTGCTTTAAGGCGTGTCATAAAGCTTTACATCTTTCTCGAGGACAACTTCGCATTATAATACAACTTCAGTGGGAAAGGATATTCGGAAGCGTTTTTCAAAGACTGTTTTTTAAGCGGTTAGTTAATCTTGACTTCGCAAGATAGTTTACACCTTGGATGTGGTAGGTGGAGTCGTCAAAAGTGTAACGGTCACCAGTTACTAAATAACTTGACCATTCGAGTTCAGTCGAATCGGAACGAGTGTATGGTAGTCCGTTCTTTGTTTTAGTGATTAATCCTTTTGCACAATCCAAAAACCAGGGAGGTGTTATGCTAGCAACCTCTCAACCTCGTGATGTGCTGATAATAAGTCGCTCTGTGACTTTCATGCGGCAATTTTGAACGCAGCAATGTTGTGTTGGAGCATTGTATGGGTAAAGCAATGCTTTTAGTGGAGTCGGAGTTCCACAGTCGGCCCTGCTTTGTTCAGAAAGTCCGTTTTTCTGATCACTTGAATTTGGCGCTTATTAAAAACTGAATAACTTCCCCACCGTGATGATTGTGCACGACATTCGCGCTCAGTTTTATAACGAATACCAGTCGGCTCAGATCTTTCAAGTATTCATCTGTCAAAGCATTGAGTTTGCCATTATTTAAAATAGAAACCTGTGGGGCTGAAAATAACAAATTGGCGTTATCCACTTTAAACCACCCAGCAGCTTAATCAACTTTATTGCAGAGCTTGTCTTTGGCTTTGCAGTAATGGCATCCAGCAAAAAACGCTGAGCTATCGAAGAATCCACTACTCGGTCGAATTTGACATTCAATGGCATTCTTGATAAAATTACGGCAGAATCGTTGAGGGCATGGTGGGCAGATCACGTTACAAGCGGAGTTTATGAGGCAGTACCAGAAGATTAAACACTGAAGATATTGCAATTCGATAACATTCAAGTCCGTTATTTGTCATCTACCCTCGGCGTAGTCATTTGCTTCTCCACCCGAATAGTATTTCATCGGAGTTCATGAACCCTGTATTATTAAAAGAGGCGCAAGTAGTAATGGAGGTACAGGAGCCTCAAATAAATAAAAACGTGAATATTGTGGTCTCGCCCAAATTCAGTATGTACAAGGAAGGGTTTCGAGCTTTCTAGCTAGTATGTCATCTAGCAGATTTCTTAGTTCAACATCAGCAACAGTCTTAAGCTCACGGAGCGAACAAGTCACGATATGCAATACGAAAAGATGGTTAAATCAAGTCAAGGACCATGTTGGATGGAATCCTGTGGTGCATCGGCATCCATGCCCTGTGTAGTTTCCACTAAAGTGGAAAGCCTACGCCCAGGTGATCTAACGGTCCCACTGGCAATATCAGTGTTGGTAGTCTACTCATAGAATTCCCCTGAGGGTCACTATCGACATAGAAATGAGTGTCTGGTTGCACTTCACTCCTAACCATTAATAAGTCACAGTCCGAACAGCTACAATTCGCTTGCATATCCACAGTCACTTCCAGACAATGGTAACTAGCACTTAAAACCAATATGTAATTGAAGTGGCGTAACGAAGGTGAAAAGCGAAACAGCCCAACATTTGCCACAAGTGCTACCTTAAATTTACAAGCTATGTTGATTACCCTTATTGGTTGTTTAAATGGACCTTGTAGATGGGAGGTAAGAGAATAATTTGAACGTGGCACTGGAAAAACACATGGACGCCTCGGGGACAAGCAAGGATTAATCATTAGCCCTTCTGTTCTAGCACGTTAGCTCGGCCCTTGGACTATTAGTGCCAAATAGAGCTCCTTAAAGCCCTCATGCCTCTGAGACGAGGCTTACGAATAAGCAGTCCTTTAAAGCCAGGTTTAGTCCTGTCACTGATCTTCTGTGCGGCTCTCAACAGTGGTACTGAGGTCTCAGGTCCTAGGCACTTTATTATTTTTGTGTCAGTTTACACCAAAAAACTTGCCGTTTTAATGTCCAGGCCACTACCCAGCACATTTAATATGATGGTAAAAGTGGTACACTTTGTTAAAATGCGCTGACTTAGGGAAGTGTAGTGGATTCGATGATTATCTTAAACACAATCTGTTAGAATAAGAAAACTGCATTTTGCCTTTTCTAATTAAGGAACATTTCTCGCAAAACCTTTGATTTCTGTCAACATAGATGGATGGAGGCAAACTTGAGTAATGAGAAGCCCGTCACCCCTGAATCATGTAATGCATAATTGTCGACAGCATTTGAATTAAACCTTAGCAATTGTGCAACCTCTCTGGTGCGTAAATCGACAAGTTTGTCGCCTTACCTCCTTTGCACACAACATCCATCTAACTCTGTGCCCTTATACGTGTGCGTGCGTGTTTTGGCTCACCCAGGAGTGGTGCTTGGGCCCCATTTTTAAGGCAACATTACCGCACGCTAGCGTTACTTGCAACACCCGAAACCGATGGTAAGTAAATTGCTACATCACACTTTAACTGGGGTAGCTAGTTTGATACCTATTCTCACCAAGTGGCTGCCTTTTGATGTAACGTGGCTTTGATGGAGTGATTTCGTCCTTAATAAAGAACTCTGCTGTGGCTTCATAGTCTCAAGCCCATAAGTTGGTTGTCCCTTAGCGACTTCACTAGTCAATTTTCACCACCTCGACCTACATATTATTTTAAGGCACTTTTTAATGTTGACACTTCCTTTATTCATTAAGCAAGAGTTAATCGACTCTGAGCGGTGTTATTCCTATTTAACTTCTACTGAGATAATAAACAAATACACATTATTGCCATTGCATAGTGGATGCTCTTAAATTTAGGTAGACTAGCAAACTAGTTGGGACAAAATGGGAGACCATGTACACGATCACTACGGGGTCCATTCACCATCCATCAGCAAGTCACATGATGTTAGCTATTCCAATGATCGCACAAGTTTACAATTCTCCTCCACGGCGCTCTCCAACAAAAATCTAATGTGTATAAATCTTCTTTCATAAACTAGCCGTTATTTATCTCTACTGGCCAAAACTTTGACACCAATGCCAGCATCGATGCACTGAGCAGCAGGGGCGCAAAAGGGACCCCAAGCAGTAGAGATGCAGCTGCCTCTAACAAGGTGAGCAATTTATTTAGCAGACGAAATGAGCTTAGCAGTCCCAAAAGGTCGAACCAGTGGTTCAAAAGCCCAAGAACGTAGAAGAACCCTCAAAAGTATTAAAGAAGAAGAGTGCGAAATTGGTGAGTGTTTCACCTTAGACTCACTGCGTATTAATTATTCGGTCAGCCTTACGTTACACAGTAACCGATTAAAATTTATGAAAAAGGATTGATATGTGACTGTTTCGTATAGTTCTTCTTCCTAAGGCATATTTTACTCAAAGGTGGATTCGCCAGAAAAGCCCTCAGTTCCTACAACAGTGGTGAGCAAACAGAGTGAAGACAATGAGGATGCAAAAATTTTGGAATGACTTTTATTGAATATCTGACTGTTCGCTTCACTGATACGCAATTATCTGTTTGAACTCAGAATAAATCCCTTTCTCATCATACTTCCTTAGCTCATTAAGGTATCCACACTGAAATTCGGCAATTCTTGCTATAGTGCGGCAGTTATGTACAAAAACTGCAAACAAATGATAATGAACACCGATCGTTCATCACAATATGGGGAATGCATCAAAGAGAGCTTAGGTTCTCATTTAGAGTTGTGTTATTACATTGTACAATGCACTGTCACTAATTATCAGGCTGTGTCACAGAAAAAAGAAATAATGCGTAACTCTTAGTATTCTTGTAGTTCAAAACAGTGTTGAGATTGATTAAAAATTCCCAACAAAATGGGGTTTTTTGTACTTTTACCGATAGACATTAACGTTGATACTGCACAGTAATAGTTTCATTCCCCATCTGCTTTGGAAAACAATTTACTATCATCTGTTTACGATATTTGCGCAAAGAACAGTCGTAATAACCTGATGTGTAGCGATTACTTTAAGCATCGTCCAACCCTTGTGTGTATGTGCTTCCTTCGGGCTAAGCTCAGACCTAATCCCATTGTTCTCCCCAGCAGACATGTATTCAGCTCTACTTAATGCCTTCTTCCACCCAATGAGAAGTCTCCGGCTGCTACGCTGGTGGCAGCAGAAAGCGATCTCGACATTTGTAACGACTTCTATCCTAGTATATTACCGTTTGTGGCATGGAAGTACAGTGTGGAGGAGGCGTGTTTGCATCTGGGTTGATAGAATCTCTAAATGTCTGTCTCTGATGTCTGCGCTTGACTTCGCCGTGTCCCCGTGTTCCACAGACATGTCATCAACAACTGAAGCAGCACCACCGTGAACCATCCGTAAAGTTTCGTGTCGAAAGTTTTCCACCAAATCCGTGTATAAGTGTCGGAAATGACACAACGATTCTCCTCATATACGGAACTGTGTGATTGTGGCTGTCAGAGCAAACATGACTCCAGGTCCGGTTGGAGACTCCGAGGAGACCAAGCAGCATTCCTCATTCTCGTAGTAGCTGATGTGTGGTGGGGGTGGGTTGTGAGTACTTTGGTGCGGCACCGAATATGTTGCAATGGTTGGAGTTGGAGGTATGTCAAGGAGAGTGTCGAAGAAGTAGCTGAAAGTGAGGGAGGGAGGGAGGGTGGTAAATCACTACCTATTACTTGGTGGTTACTTGAGGAATGGTGTGGTCCTTGTACGCGTGGGCTGGCGTTCGGGCGAATCTGAGGCCTAGCTGCGTTGTTGTTCCTGAGATGCATTTATTCGGCCCCACTTATTGTTTTCTCCTACTGGGTGAGAGATCTCGGGATGCAAATTTGTGGCGCCGGAAAGAATCTCACCTACTAATGTAATGCATAATGCAAAATGGCTCATAGAGGACCTCAAATGGACTAAGCACCACAAATTCATTTCAAAATTGCGCAAATGGATAAATGTTTTTTTTCAAACTTTTTATAGGAATTTCAATCCCATCGGAATTCCATACGATATCAAAAGCCAGTGCTTTAATATTTACCGCCTTCCTTTACTTTTCATACTAATTGTCAGATTTAAGTGAACTTCTTCTCTTAACCACAATAATATAATCTACTGTCGCAAACGGTGGGTAACAATACAGTTAATGTATTGTATTGGCGCCAACTTTATGAACATCTGCTTATATTAATCTGAATGGTAATTTCACTTTCAACTTAGCCCGTAGATGGAGCTGCCGGTTGAGCGTTGATCTCGGTATGGGTCTCTTGCTTTCACAAGTGGCGAATGTCTACCATTCATACTTGAGTGTCATATTTTGTGCTTTTCCTTTAAGTAGTTAAAGTCTAACGATTTTCTTACAAGCGATTTGTCAAATAGATGCTCCTATATTTGACGCTAATTACTCGTAAATATTTCATTTTCGCCTACCACTTCCAGAAGTGCAAATTGCCCAACCTTTCATTGAATGGTAGCTTCTCCTTCCAGCCTCAATCCAAAATATCATGGAAATAATATCTGGCCTTGAAAATAGCGTTTCACTTGTATTAATCTTATCATCGATTATTGTCGCCCTATTTCTGGTTTTTATCGCCCGTCGATTTACGTCTCCTTCCGCGTAAGTTTGGGTTTATTTCCCAACCGGTTATCCGTTTACATGCCAATCGTCTTGGCGAGTTTATAGGCGGTTCATCGATTCTTTTTGCATACTAATAACTTATATCATTGTATCTTATACGACTCTATTGTATGTGCATCAGGTTCTGATTCTTACTGGGCTCTCTGAATCTATTTTCTTCCCGCACCAGACCGCTACGAATCCATCCCGAAAGTGAGCGAAATGTTAATGAAGTTCGTCATTCTCGAGCCCTAAGAAATAATTGCGCCTCCAACGGCGATTCTGCCTCTCCATCTTCAAATGTCACAGAGGAGGATGCGTGTCCTATTTGTCTAGAAAATCTTAACTTTGCGGTTGAGACCAATTGCCGGCATAAGTTCTGTGGTAGGTTGTCTGAACGCGGCTGAACAATCCTCAGATATTTTTCGTCCCTTTTACAGCATTGTGTATCTTTGACTTTCTCGTAGGGGACTGTTTTTATGCTTACTGGCAGACATTTTCTCCACTGACCCAGCCAAACTGCCCCGTTTGTCGAAGTCAGGTAAACTCGTAGTCAGATTCCTTTGGTGCACTTCTTTTGCCTTTGAAATGTTTTTCTTCTTGCGTTCCCCAAATTTAACTCGGTTCATCTCTAGTTTCTTGAATGTTTACTGATACGGGGTATGTCCCAGTCACTCCAGGACTTTGAAACCAACACGTTTTAAGCGCTGAAGGGTACCTGTGTAGTTTTCGCAGGTTGACATCATGTCCGTACTCTTATTTTAACTATAAATCCTCAAGGAGGTTTGATATGAAGTAGCTTGCTAGTTATGTATTCAAAATGCATCAATTTCTCAGAGACTTAATAGTATGTTCTGCGCTCTTGGTGGACTACTCTTTTCTCGTGCAATTATGTTTCGTGATGGGTGGCTATGCGTCGTTCAGGTGCTTAGAACCACACCCTGAATGTTCGCCTTACAGGATGGACGTTAATCCGATTTAGCCATTAGCAGTCGTATGACAGTTCTTGCCAGCTTTCCGATAGTCTGACGTCTTACTGTTGAGTGACCGTGTATTTGATAATTTTGCTTCGATTGAAGTCTTGCAATGTTTGGATACCTGTGGATGTAAGTCTCACGACTTTTGGACCACTGGACCAGTTGGCTGGATGTGAGCTGGTTAATGCGAATGACAGTAAGGCGAACCCGTACTGAGAGCGTCTTTATTTCGCCTTTGATTGAATCCTGTGTGTTACTCAAGCCTATTATTCGATGTTCGTTTTAGCTGCGATTCCTGCTTAAACGTTTTTCACCCACTGATTTGGACGCTGGAAATTCGTCAGATCGATTTGAAGTGGAGTCACGAATAGCCGCTTTCAATCGTCGTTTCTCAGGAAATCCGGTTTCTGTAAGCTGTTCCATTTTTAAAGGAAATGTTTAGAGTACTATGCTAACGTCCCTTCTGCATTTTAATTGAGTAACGTTGCACTATTTCAATCAAGATACATGGCCATGTTTGTAACACTTGTTTTAACTCATGGCCTTATCAAGTGCCGTCTCCCGAAACCCTTTAATTGTGGAGTCTGCAATTTGCGCTTGCTGCAAAGTGGGAATTTGGCTTCAATTTGGTGTCCCTTTCTTTAGCTCCGTAAACTCAGTACTACCAGTCCATCTTTACATTATTTTACTATGCATTTATATCGGAGAATAACCAATGAGCAGGCACTCTTTACTCGCCATAGTAATACCAAGCAGTCGTCGTTTCTTCATTAAGTAACGCCTTAGTGACGCATTTTCTGGGCTACTAAACACCACTATGGTTTGTTCACGTATCCCACTTAATTCAATCATAAGCATAGTTTCCTGTTCTCACTTATTTAGATCATTGATCAGATACGCGACCTCCCAGTTTTGCTGCGCTACTGCTGGCGTATAATGTTTGACGGGGAGGGAGGAATCTCGTGCCTGCTAAGGCTGCGTCTTATTGTTCTCTCCCTCTTTGTCTTCTTCTACGTTGTATCGCCATTGGATATCTTTCCTGAGTCGATGGTGGGTGTATTCGGTCTCCTAGATGACTGTCTCGTCTGTCTTGTCTTCTTCATCTACGTGGCTGCCTTGTTCAGAGGACACTTGATCGCTGATGTTTGATCTATGCCGACCTGTCTGGCTTATTCTACATCTGTTAAGGTGCTCTTTACTCTTGCCTAGATTTCTATTGTTGCGATTTATTCAATGGCTTCGTTAAAGAAGAGGCAACGACGTGTGATCACCTTTAATTTTACTGTTATATGCATAGTTTTGGTTCATTATTTGGCTCTCCAGATGGTGGACAGTGTTCTTTGATTTCCGGTTGATTAGGGTTGTTCCGCAACAACCATTCTGCTAAAAACATCTATTAGGTCGGAAAATTTTCACAGCTGGATTGTATATAGCTTATTGTTTTCGTTTAAGAAAACTCGGTTACTTACAACGGGGTCTTTGGGTTTCTTTTTGCACACTTCTGTCAGTCCTATTAATAGAGTTGGAATAACATTTTTTGAGAGGTATTCTTTTGCATATTGCTTTGTTGGGACTGGTTCCATAACAACTAATTCAAGTTTACTTAAACGCATAAGATCCTTACTGTTTGGAAAGAAGAATTGGATCTCTCTTACAGCTATCACTTTTGTCTCACTGGCGTGAAATGGGTTCTCCGACTTTGGCCCACCAAGCTCGTTCCAAAACCTCAAAATTGTCATTCAATATGCATAGTACGTTCGTGCCAGTTTGTTTTCTGTGCACCTGGTTGTTGGAAAATCAACAATGTCTTTCCAGGTTTTTGTGATGCCATTTTGGACCAAAACCATTACCAGAATTAAGCCACTACTAAGGTCCTCGACCAGTTGAACATAGTTCTCCTCATTCTTTTTGCCTCGATAAAATTCCAATGCTTGTTCTACAGAAAGTTTAACAAACCGTCTCTACATAGCTTGCGAATAGCCTGAAATTTTGATTACTTACGTGGGTTACAGTAATTCCAGCCTTCATTAAAATATCAACTAGAGGTACTTCTTTTCTCCATGCAGCGGCTTTGAATATAGCCAACGTCCTCTCTAGGATGATCTCAGGATAGTTTTTATTCTCTTCCAACGACAGTTCCTTCGACCCTTCCCGTTTTCCGGTCATAATTGCAAGTTCGCGCGTTTGTGGGCAGCCTTCGTCACCATAACTGCTGGTAGTTTTAGGCATCGAAGCATTTTAACTTTAAGTAGGTTAAAATCCCCATCACTATGCAATGCATTTATTAGTATTTAGTAAAGTTTGTTCTATGGTAGTATTTGTGCGTTTGTGTCGTGGATACTTTGCAAGTTTTGCTAAAGTATGCAATGGTAAAGAAAGCTTAATTTATTTTAACATATTTATAGCTTCTTTGGAACAGTTATATGGGATATATTCTTGGAAAGAGGGTAGACAATTGTGAAGCTGTTTATTTAGTTCGATTTGCTTCCAGTAATTCGTTTATGCGATCATCTAATATCCGGCGGTTACTTTGTATTCTTTTTGCCCGTGTGCATACGGGACTGTGTTTGGGTTGTATCAGCATACTATCTCTTCTTCTTTTGGACTACATCTATTCTGCTCAATGTAATGTCTTCTCCTACATTTTTGGAAGTCCCAAGACACTGCAGTTGTAGTAGTGGGTGGCAAACTCAACTATTTTAAAGACTTCTATCCTTGTATCCACTGTTTGTGGTTCCGATCTACGGTGCAGGGAAAGGGCATTTACATTGGACAGGAGATCATCCAAATTCCTCACATTGGAATAGCTAGGAATTACTTCTGCATTGTCTGTCGCACAGACAAGTTATCGGTAACTGAAGTAACACCGCCTTGATCCATCTGGAAATGTTTCGCATCGAAATTCTCCTTACTGCTGCCGATTATGGTTGCCGAAGATGATTCTCTGGCGAATTCCTTTCTATTCGGAACTGTTGCACATCGGTTCTGGACCAGTGCTCTAGCCTCTAGTTGTGGACTCCATCGATGGCGAACAGAAAATTCCAATTCTCGCCCTAGACTCGAATGCAATTGCAGGTCCAGTTTAAAGTGCCGAGGAGACCAAGTACTGTTCTCCATTCTCGCAACAGCTGATGGCTGGCCTGGCAGGCGTACCAATAGGGGCGTCAGTGTTGTGCTGTTTGTGACCATGTGATGCCTGACGGGCCCTGTGGTACTCGTTTTGTCCTTGTACGAGCGGGCTGGCCTTCGGACCGTGCAAAGGTCCTAAAGCTTCTCTTCTCTTGCAATACATGTATTCCGCCCAACGCGATGCCTTCTTCAATCTGAGAGGAGTATCTGGGCGTCGCTGTTTTGGCCTAGCTATTTCTCAATTTATTATCCTCATCAAATACTCGTAATGTGGTCCTCATTGAGTCATATTCCACGCAATTATTAATTAGTGCTGAAGCAGCCCGTTTTTCTTAACGGGAGTATTTTGTGTGGACGTGGCAGATTGCGACGTTATGTGCATCACCATTCTTTCCGCCAGGCCCTCCAAAATTAAGCAGATAACTCATGTTCTACAAAGCTTATTGTAGCGTTCCACATCAGTGGTGAACCTCAAAGACTCC